TGTTTACAGTTCTCAATCCCTAACTTACTGCTAACACAAACCCACTGTCAGTTAGCTGGCCGTAACACGTAAATATGCTAATACCTTAAGAGTTGAGGGACTAACTCTATAGGAGGGGGATAGTATATACCTTCTCTATAGAAATATTAAGATAAAACGACTAAGTAATAAGTTGGACTTTAAGAAACTTAGACCTTTTAAAATTATATAGAAGGTATTTAATATTAACTTTAAACTTATACTACTAGACACTATAAAGTGCTATCTAGTCTTTCATATTTTACTTCTTAAAAAAGTACTAATAGGTTTATATATAAAAGACTATATTATTATAGAACCCCTTAAACTAGAATATAAAGTTAAATAAATTATTAACTACTATAATAACAATAGAAATATAGAATATCTCATTAAGTAGAAAGGATATAGATATAAAGATAACTTATGGGAACCTATTAAGAACCTTTAGTATTCCCAGCAGATACTATAGGAGTATTACTAGGCAGTAGGAACCTAAGGTTGGAGAAACCCTCGCCTAGACCAAAGTTTACTAATGATAGGTCGTTAGGGGCACCCTAAAAAGATAAGTCTAATACTATACGTAACTCCTTAGCATCTAACGCACGCTCCTTAGCCTCCCACTCCTCTACAGATTATATACTATAATAAATTAAGTCTAAACTACGCTCTTTTAAGAAACGTTTATATTTCTATAAATGAGATAAACGACCTATTATAGTAGCCAGCTGCGTCTAGAGAAGCTCAAGAGCCTCTTCAGCCTCTTGCTCCTCCTGCTCGATCTTCTTCTGCTCCTTGAAACAACGATTCACTACAGTTATCAGCACAGAAAAAAAACAGAAAACCAAAATAAACGACTTACAAGCGTTCGCCACATCTCCCCTATCACAGTTGGACAGACCACGGCTCGCACATTTGCCGCAGCGCTTGGAGTTTGTAAGGTCCATTTTGCACACCTAGTTAAACTGGAAATACGGAGAGCACGGCATTGCATTATAACCACAGAGATTAACTAATTGACTAAGAGCTTGATGGTTTCGCTTGATCTTAGCATAATGAGCTTCACGAGAAGGCTTAGAAGGTTTTTAAACGCAACCTAATATAGTGTTAGCATTATGGAAATAAGGAAGCATAATTAATAACTCCCCAACCTAGGAGTAACAACCTACTTATGCTGGTCTTAGGGATAAGACCTTTAGAGAGGAGACCTAATATTACGACCTATTGGGCTTAGCTACCAATATAACCCCGCTAGGCTCTTAGCGGCTAACGTGGATATATATAACCTAGTGACATAAAGACGGTTAGGGATCCTCAGAAGGGAAGAACTATAGTATAAGTCATGTGACGATAAGATAAGGATTATTTTAGATCAAAATGATCTAGTTAGACTTAGGGGCTAAACGATCATTCTCGATCAGAATGATCTAGCTTGACCTAAGGTATAAGGGCATATACTAGGGAAAGGACTTGTATATAGGATGGACTTGAGCTCGGCTCAAGAACAGACTTCTATAGCTCTTCAGCAATCAACTTGTGATTCTCACTTGAGACTTTTAGCTATACCTAAGTGATAATTACTCTATAACTCTTATTGAGGACTTAACTAATCACTAAGACCTTTGAAGACCTATGATTACTTAAATAAGCCCTATAGAATGACTTAATACTGTTTATAGTTCTTAATCCCTGACTTACTGCTAACATAAACCCACTGTCAGTTAGCTGGCCGTAATATCCTTCTATTAAGTATTTAATGTTTATACTAGAAAAACGTTAGAAAAGAAAAAAAACATAAAAGTCTTAATACCTATATATAGAAGCTACTAAAATACTATTATATAGCTTCTTTACCTTAATGCACTTATAGTAATAAGATAACCCCTTACTAAATTAATATATAACCTTTATATAGAAATAATAAGTATAAGGCATATCTATATATAAGGAATGAGAATCTATAAACTTAAGAAGCGCTTAATGCTTATAATCTTTTATTTCTATCTTTTAAGACTTTAACTTTTAAATATAACTTAATATAATATTAGTATTATAGAAAATAAAGAAGTAGAATTAATAACTCCCTAACCTAGGAGTAACTACCTACTTATATAAGGTCTAAGAGATTAAACCTTTAGAGGGGAGACCTAATATTATAACCTATTAGGTATAACTAATAAAGAACGCCCTATAAGGATATTAGGCAATTAGAACGTTACCTTTATATATAGGATTATAGGAATATAAGGGGCTTACCTAGAATGGAAGAACTATAGTATAAGTTATATAATAATAAGTAGGACTAACTTTTAATAAGTAGTCCTAGGACTAGGATAAAGATTAGGACTAATATACTAAGGGCGGTCTTAAGGAGGACTAACTCTTAGATTATAGTCTATATAGGAAGAGAAGTATCTAGGACTTATATATAGGATAGACTTAAGTCTAGCTCAAGGATAGACTTCTATAGCTCTTTAGTAATTAACTTTATAACTACCCTTACTAGTACTTTTAGCTATACCTAAGTGATAACTACTCTATAACTTTTATTAAGGCCTTAACTAATCACTAAGACCTTTAAAGACCTATAATTACTTAAATAGCCCTATAGAACAACTTAATACTATTTATAGTTTTTAATCCCTAACTTACTGCTAATATAAACCCACTATTAGTTAGCTGGCTGTAACACCTATTTACCTCTCTCTTTCTTATCTATATTAAATCCCTTACTATTAGCCTAGCTAAATACTTAGCCCCTATAAATACGCTATATAGTAATAAGCTAGAGTTAGAATAGATAAGAAAAATCTCTTATATAGTTTCTAATACTAAATAGCCTTAATAAACTATAAACTACTTTATATACTCTATAGAGGGGTAGGCTTTAAACTAGCGCATTTAAGATATATCTCTAAGCTACTTATAGGTGCTATTCCTACTAAGGCTAGCTACTTAAGCTTTATTTTTACTCTCTATATCTCTTTATATAATTCTTTCTATAAGTAAGGTCTATTTAATCTACTACTATATATATATTCTATATAGATTACTTCTTTTCTATCTCCTATAACTAATAGAGCTATTAATAGTTATATTTTTATAAGTAAGAGATTATAGAGGCTATATTAGTTATTTAATTATTTATAAGTCTTAAGATAAGCTCTCTAATAACTATAATTTAAAAGCCCCCTAGGGCTTCTTTATAAATTACTTTATAATAAGTCTTAAAATAGGCTTAATAACTATAATCTAAAAGCCCCCTAGGGCTTCTTTATAAATCACTTTATAATAAGTCCTAAAATAGGCTTAATAACTATAATCTATAAGCCCCCTAAGGCTTCTTTATAAATTACTTTATAATAAGTCCTAAAATAAGCTCTCTAATAACTATAATCTAAAAGCCCCCTAGGGCTTACTTAATATTTAATAATATAATAGACTTAAGGATTAATAAGCCCCTAAGGGCTTTTCTATTCTAAATATAGCTTTTTAATCTACCTACCTATCTACCTACTTATCTACCCCTATATTCCTTTCTACTATAGATACCTAAAGTAAATAAAATAATATATATAACTATAACTTTATAACCTAGCTTATTCCTAATACTAAACCTCCTTTTCCTTCCTAGCCGCCTAAACCTCCTTTTCCTAGCCTAAACCTCTTTTTCCTAGCCCTAACCCCACCCTACTGGGGCCGTTTGCACCCGCTACTATAATATAAGCCCTATTATTAGTTAGTTAGCTATAATAAATAGCTAGTAGGTATATACCTTATATTAAGAATATAATTATAGGTGCCTCTACTTAGCTAAGATATCTATTATAATATTATTTCTTATACTTACTATTACTAAGTAGCTTAGTAGCTATAGGGCTAAGTACTAGGGCGTTAAGAACTTATTCTTAGCTACTATTTCTACCTTTAGGGGGAGGACTACTACGTTATAGCAAGCAGTAGGTAGAGAGTAGTAGACTTAGGCTTATAAGTAAGCTAGAGAGAATTATAAAGACGCTTACTATCTAACTTAAGGTTGCTTAGATTATACTTACTATAAAGGTAGTAGATAAGAAGTCTTTATAGGGAATTAAGAAGGCAATAGCGACAGTAGTAATAGGATTGGGACCGTTGTTTATAAGGGCATATTCTTTATTAGGAGGAGAAGGCTAATGGCAATGAGGCTAGGGTTAGGATACATAATGAGAACTAGGAATATTTATATTTAAAGTCTAAATCTCTATAGAGTCTTTTAGTTGAACTTAAATGCTCTTTTTTATAGCTTTAAGACTGGCTCACTGCCCGTTATAGCCCAGGGGAATGCGGCGAATTGCTTTTGCTGTCTCGACCCCGATCTCTCACTTAGTAGCGCTTGGTATAACCTTCCCGGCTCGGCGTTAGCTTGTATCTGCGACAATGCAACCGACCTTGCGCAAACCACCCCATGCTGCGTACAACACAGCACGCAACTTACGTCGCACAGATAATCGTAGCACCAATAAATGATCCTTAGAAGAAGACCTTATCTTACCATTTTCAGTAATAATACGGACCTTCCTAAAATTGTGTCGTAGTCATAGTGGGTAGAACACAAATCCATATCACCGGGCAGTAAACGTCCATGAGTATCCCTGTAAGAGTCCGGATCACAATGAAAAACGCAACGTTGGACTGAGAGTTCGACATACAGACCAATCGCACAACACCCCCCCTAGAATTGCACCATGCACAAGGTTCATCTCTCCACGTTATCACGCGAGACGCATCACAAAGATAAGCCATTGGGTCAGCGTGTGCCGCCTTTCTCGTCTGTTATCCTAAAGTTATATCTTGTCGGCCTTCGCTGATGCAATGAGAGCGAGACAAACTGGCGTTGCCACATTATCTTTCAAATCAGGCGCGTTAGCGATCTTTTTCCCATCGTCGGGATCATCGTCGGGATAATTTTGTCTCGTCTTGTCCAGTCTTCTCTATATGCGGATATGTCGGTCTCTAACCCTCTCGGCGATACAATCGTTGCCGGGGCGCTCAACCCTGCTGAGGGAAAGATCGTCTCGGTGCCGAACCATGAGGCCATCAATGAGAAATCCAGCACTCATATGAGTACTCCTGAAAAGGGGCTCAATGCCGAAGTCAAGGAAATTCGGCCTCTTTCAGACATTTCTGATCATGATACGGACGATGGAAGTGAAGACGTCATCATCAGAACTGGCGCGGATGCCGCTGAGCATTTGTTGCCTCTCCGCGACGACTTCCAACCTGCTCTGACTTTCCGAAGTCTCCTTCTAGCCACCTGCCTCTCAGCCTTCCAGGCGGTCATGAGTCAAATCTACACGGTACGCATGCTTTACCATTGCAACAGCAACTTCGTTGCTCTCCATCTGATCGGTTTCCTTCCAGTTCAAACCCACCCAGGTCACCATCTCGGGAACCTTCATCGTTCTCATTGCCTATTTTCTAGGCAAAGCATGGGCCAACTTTCTCCCCCGAGGCGATAAATTCGAAGCTCGGTGGAGGGAGAAGGGCGGGGAAGGTCAACCTCCCCAATGGATTCGGATTCTGTCTTTCTTCAATCATGGACCCTGGAACCTCAAAGAGCATGCTATTTGTGCTATCACAGCAACATCTGCGTCCAACGCCGCCGCCAGTATCCAAGTCTTCGCGGCACAGGACCTTTTCTACGATCTTCCCTTGAGTCCAACTACGGTTGTTTTGAGCGTCATCTCCATTGGACTATTTGGCTATGGCATATGCGGCGTCATGCGACCCATCGCCGTTTGGCATGTTGACGCTGTTTACTGGAGCACTCTACCCACCGTCAAAACACTTCAGGGGCTGCATTGGCAAGACTTGAAGAATTCGAAGCCTCTGCGATGGTTTTGGTACAGCTTTTTCGGTATTTTCGTCTACGAGTTCTTCCCTGCCTACATGTGGCCGTGGCTTAACTCGGTCTCTGTTCCTTGTCTCGCCGCGATGCATGCAACGGGACAGAAGGCTGCTACCCTGACCAATCTTTTTGGCGGTGCGACCAACAACGAAGGACTGGGTCTATTCAGTTTGTCCTTCGACTGGCAATACGTAAGATGATTGTCTCTTTGCGATTTCTCTGTGCACGGATTGATTGACACCTTCCAGATTACTTCGTTCAACACGTCGCTTCCCCTCGCACTGCAGGCCCACGCAGCACTTGGGTACTTCGTGTGTTTCATCGCAATGCTTACCATCTACTACACCAACGCGTGGGACTCCAAGTCTCAGCCATTCATGTCAACGCGTCTTCGCTCTGAGGATGGATCCACGTACCCCATTGCGAAGGTTTTCACTGGTGGCGTACTGAACAAGGATGCTTTGGCAACCTACGGAATTCCTAGGCTTACTGGGAGCTTTGCCTACGCCATGTTCATGGCAAACGCAGCGGTAAGTGTTCCAATCTCTCCCATCCTGGATAGCTATTCGTTTTCTAATTGCGTCGCAGATTGGTGCCTTGATTGCACACTGCTTCCTGTTCTGGGGAGGAGACGTTGTCAAGGCTTACAAGAGCGCGAAGAGTGGTCGATATGAAGACAGGCACCATGCACACATGGCCAAGCACTACAAGGAGACCCCTTGGTGGTGGTATGTGGTAGTCCTTGTTCTCAGCTTCGTTCTAGGAATCATCGTCGTGACCACTCAGAACATCACTCTTCCAGTTTGGGCGTACATTGTGTCCCTGTTGCTTGGGATTTTCATTGCACCTTTGGTGGGTTATCCGTATATACCCTACGCAGGCCTGGACTTTACTAACGTGTACGTAGAGTACTATTTTATACTCTCGATATGGCAACGGAATCGCCACGAACAATCTGTCGAAAATGCTTGCCGGCCTGCTCTTGCCGGAGCGCCCCATTGGCAACATGTATTTTGCCGCTTGGTCACACAACGTCATTTCAAACGCTGTCACCCTTTCCAATGATTTGAAGATGGGCGAATACCGTGCGTAACTCTCGGTGTCTTGCTGCGGCCTTGTCTGACCATGTCATACAGTCAAGATCCCGCCTCGTGTCATGTTCCTGACGCAGGTATACGGCACCATCTTGGGCGGTTTCATTAATTATGCTGTCATGATCTCAATTGTCAACGGAAACCGTGAGCTTCTTGTGGACAGCAATGGTAACAGTGCCTGGAGCGGTGCCACGATGCAGTCCTACAACACCAACGCGACATCTTGGGCTTTGGCACGATACCTCTACAAGATCGGGGGAAAGTACGAAATGGTCCCTATTGGTCTCGGTATTGGTTTTGGAATTGTCGCTCTTCACAGGCTGGTGGTCTACGTAAGTCTCAATCCCGTTGATATGATAATTTGCTGTGTCATTTTCTGTGCTGACACCAAGACATGCAGTTCGTTCCCAAAATTCGTGGGTTCTCTCTCTCGGAGATCAACTTCCCTCAATTCATCCAGTATGCTGGTTTCATCCCGTACAACCAGTCGCAAACTTGCGTCATCTTCAGCCAGATCATCGCGGGGTTTTTTACCCAGTTTTATCTGCGCAACTACCGGCCTAGAATCTTCCGCGACTATTCTTACCTCGTCACCGGCGCTATGGATGGTGCGAGTTTGACGGTGCTATTCATTCTATCATTCGCTGTGTTCGGCGCTGGCGGCTCTTCCAAGCCGTTTCCGATTTGGTGGGGCAACAACGCGAACGGTAATTACGATCTATGCCCATCTTCAGAGTAGATGAAGGATATTCATCTGAGTTCAATGGGAAATTCAATCAAGATACCTCTGCCAGTTGCTCGACGGCAATTGGATTGATGGATATCATGTCTTTCACCTAAGAACGCCATGATATGCACCCATCTACTTGCCGTGAAGCATCCAGCAGAGGCCAGGTCTTTCACGTGCCGAGACACACTTAATAGACTAATTAATTACAATTGTTTTCTGTTTTTGTATACTCTGGAAGAGACCATGTCTGTTTAATGTTGTCGGCGACGTCTGGTTCTTGTTCTTAGCGGTCCAAACCTTTCAGATGTTCAGACTTCATTTACTGTCGACTTCAGATAAATAAGCCTGGAATCAACTTCAGGCTTCACGCTTCGCTATCTCCAGCACGAGTCAGGCATAGAAGTGATCTATCAATGAAGTACGGTGCCACGGCCACCGTCCTTTTGCCGGGGCGGCATTATCTGCTGCTATGGTTGAATGTGGCCTCACTTTTGCCGACGCAACTCTGATCCAACCCCGTTGAATGCAAACAAATTAGGAGTGAACTCTGGTACTCTTACAATAACACCCGCTTTGCACAGGTCGAGAATTCTGGCAGTCACTTCCTCCACCGACTCTAATCCCGACTCTAGACTTTTCAGATACAAGGCCAGGCCTGCCACGTGAGGCGCAGCCATAGACGTACCGGTTAAAGCAACATCTTTCCCCGCCTCCAGAGACAATGAATACACATCAACTCCGGGGGCATACAGATCGACTTTCGACCCGAAGTTGCTATAGCTCAGCACCGTGTTATTTGCAGCGCTGGCCGCTACAGTGATAGCACTGGCAGTTCCCGCTGGGGACACACGGTCGACGTCAACTCCTGCGTTTCCTGCCGATACGACTGAAAGGACTCCCTGCTCAGATGCTGCGTGCACCAGGTTGTTGAATGCCCAATTTGTTGGACCACCTTAAAGAGCAGTGAGTTGTGGGACTTGACCTATGCTCACATGGAGATTGGACTCACCTAAGCTCATATTGATCACAGAAACAGCTGCCCGTCCTGGTGTAGCGGTGATGTTGTTTACGGCCCATGAAAATCCTTCCATAAAGTGCGACATAACACCCTAGATTCGTCAGTCTCACAACGCCAAAGCAAAAGTTGTCTCAACCTACCTGGCCAGGCGCAATCACTTTCACTGCGATGACACGGGCCTTTTTTGCGATTCCCCATGTTTTCGATGCAATGGTGCCAGCAACATGGGTGCCATGACCGGTGCTGTCTTCAAACGGAATATCAGGATAGACTGTGTAGCCCAATTCGGCACGTCCCTCAAAGTCGGGGTTGTCGACCCAGACTCCAGTGTCAATGACGTATGCGTATGTGCCCTCTCCACCATTTTCATCGTAACGATATTCGAATCCGTCGCGGAGGTTGGCACTCGCGTTGATCGATGCTTCGTGGGAAATAGCGCCCAAGCCCCATGTAGCCTCCGTTTGGGAGATGAGCTCAAACGGATAGATGGGCATATCGGGCTCAATGCGATCTACCTATTCGATCGTTCAGCTTCGCTATGATGATTCACGTTGGACCTTAACTCACATCTTGATTCGCTTCGATCTCCATAACCATTTCTTCGTCAAATGACCCAGCATATGCGTGAAAGAGACCGATGTCAAACGTCTTTTCGACGCCTGCAATGGTACGAGCTGAGAGGCTCCTCCTCTTATGTACATCCCGTACCCAACTGAGATGGCTATCAACAGTTGCACTCGAGATTCCTGGTTTCAAACTGACAATGTACTTGTCTGGGATGGCGCGGTTGTCGGTACGGAGCGTATGCCCCAGGACAACTGAAATGCCGCTAACGAGATAGTACAACTGTTGTCGCATTTTGTTGCCTTTTTGATGTGAAAGTGTCCAGAGTTGAAGTTGCGTGTGCTGACAGCTACTTTCTTGTCCCATGAAGCATCCTTCTTTATGTTAAATGGGAAATCATGCAATCCAAGCATAGTATGTCCTCGAGAGGAGCCCAATGCTTGGCTTTCTCGTATTTTTCTATCGCTAATCCTCAATAGGTAGGTCAACAAGGATGATTGACCAGGAAGCTTGACCGAATGATACCTTACCAACCGATCATATCCAACCGGTCAATCATAATTGATTTCTACCTTTATGATCATCTGCCAGAAAAGCGAGGATCACTGGGAAAATGTTCATGCTTAAGAATATATTTTTTATGAACAGGATTCTGCCCTCCGCCGAAAAGTTTACTGCCCCTTGTCTTAACTTCTCCCAAGAACTTACGCAGGGTTAATACACAATTCGTCGAGTGAAGGGTGGATGCAACGCATGAGGCGTACTGTTGCCCTTGATTTACAACGAATAGAGCCTTTCCCAGATCAACACTTCACTCGATCTTGGTTTGCGTGATCCAATTCAGATTTTAGACAGGAGGATTTGTTAACAACATGTTGTAGTGTTGCAGGCAATGTTACCCAATGTATGTCAGAAAAGATCTGCAATCTTCCAATCAGTTTCCCCGATGGCGTGGACTTCGGCACAGTCTCAACAGCCAAAACGCTAAAGGTAACCCCCTAAAAGGGCTTTAGGAGGCTGTCTTGTTCATCACCACTCCAGAAGGGTCTCGGGTGACCTCATCGCCCCACTGAGCCTCCCAGCCGTTCTCAGCTAGATACTTTTTCCAAGCCTCGTCGTCGTCGTTCAAACGACGGGACACATCGGGGATGACGAACAATGCAATCAGTGCACCCAGTACAGCGAACCCGGAACCAATTAGGAAGGCAACTTGGTTGCCCTTAGAAGGCGTTTCCGTGTAGGAGTTGAGAATGGCGGTGAAAACCTTGAATTCTTAGCATCGGAGCTGCTTTATTTTTGCAAAAGGCAAAGGTTTTGGACTCACCTGAGTGCCAATAGCAGCACCGGCCTTGGAAAAAGCTGAGATGAACCCCATCATTTGACCTCGAATAGACGTGGGGAAGCATTCGGAGGCAGTCAAGACCACCGTACTAGTCACGTATTAGTTTGCCTGCCCCAGCTGATGATATCAATTCAGAATCACTTACCTTCCAGGTCCAACTTCGCCCAAAGTCAAGAAGATTCCGTATAGAACAACAAACAAGGGGAATACATTCTGAATTGGGTTCATGGCTCCACCCAAAACGAATCCCAGAATTGCTTGGAGGGTGAACCCCAGGGCCATGGTTTGTCTTCTGCCAATCTTGTCGGAGAGATATCCGCCAATGAACTGAATTCTTCGTTAGCTGACATCATTGGTATGAATACAATCGGGGTTAGCGACTTACCGGTCCCGGGATGTAGAAGCAGTTGATTACAACACCCCATCCGAGTGTCTTTACAAGGCTATCGCCGGCATTCGCCCTGGACATGATTGTGGAACTGAAAATGCCGAATGGAATACTGATCCAGTTGTACAAGAACCATGTAGAAGCCGAGCCAAGCAGTGGTCTCCAATATCTTTTCAGCGCCAGCCAGTAGGGAGTTCGCTGTTTGCGCATTGCTGATTTGCGATAAGCTGTTGAGACGGCCATGCGCATGCGAAACCAGAAGATGAGAAGAGGAGGGGCCATTCCGAGAGCAAATGAAGTTCGCCAAACAATGTGGTACTTTGAAACTTCTTGGCCAACGCAAAGCAGAAGCAGCAGAGGCACCAAAGCTCCCCATATGTATCCCAAACTGCTGGAAAGGTCTGCCAGCATTGCAAACATGAAGCCGCGTCTTTTACGGTACTTGGCGTCTTCATCCGTAGCTTCAGCAGCACCAGCACCAGATACCGGATATTCGCCTCCAGCTCCCACGCCGGCGACGCCGCGAGCAATAATGAGCATCCAGAACATGCCCGTCGGCGTGTTTCCACTTGCTGCGGTAGACAGGGTGATTCCGAGGACCAACAACAAAGTTGTAGCTACGGCGCCAGTCTTTCGACCCAGTTGATCCACGATAACACCAAACAGCAACATGCCCACAATCATGCCAATCAAAAATGCATTCGAAAGACGCTGATATATAGTTGAAGTCAGATCGTCGGGATAGAGAATTGCCAGCAGCAACTCAACATTTCCAATAACGGCGGCATTGCTGCGCACACAATTGTCAGTCACAATGGGACGAGGGCGGGACGAAACACACAAAGACGGCGTGTTGGGTGTAATCATACTATCCATCAGAACCAATTGCCAAACCTGAGAATAAAACCATGAGCCAGACAGATACAGTACTGTAGTACGTCTTTTCTGGTTCTTCGGCTACGACATCGATTTCATCTTCTTTGCCAACATTGCTGGCTATTCTCAATTCTTCGGTAGCGGTCTTATCATTCCCGATCCCAGAGGGAGAAGAGGCTGTTGTCATGTTGGCGTTGTGAGTTGAATCTGCTGTCATGGGAATCAACCACGCATCAGGTTCGAGGAAAGGACAGAAAGACTTGGCTTGCTGAAGAGGGAAGCGAAACGGGGGACGCGTCTAAGACGCATCAGCCAGATATCCGTGGCGGGCCACTCATTTTACATATTGCCGCGGTTGGACGCAACCCAAGCCTCCGGCCCGGGTTTTTCAGGTCATCGACAAATGATGTAGAGCGATTGGAGTCCTATCTGTTGGTCCGGTCCGGCGATGTAACCCGAGGAAAACTCGCCAGCGTTATCGACACCCATGTCAGTGGTACGAGAACTAATAGGTGCAGCAAATGTTACACAGTAGGTGTTGGACCTGCTCTGCGGCTGGCATGACTCGTGTGGGGATTATTTCCCAACTGGGAACTGATTCGCAGGTGCTGCACCCCGGAGAGGGGTTGGGGCCGGTGGGCGAGGTCGGACAGCCTCCGACAGGCCCCCCGACTTCCGACTTCTCGGCAAATGATCTTCTTGTCTCTTTACTTGCCGCCATCTTCTCTGCATGCACAGCAGATCGAACCAAGAATTGCAAACATCATTCTTCTTTCCAATTACTTGGAGATGTCGGGCTCAGAGAGAAAACAACAAACAGCGTCCCGCGCCCCGGCCCGACCGCCGCAGCCACCCACACGCCGCTCCCGACTACTTCCTTTGGTCGCGACATCTTTGTTTCTCCTAGCGACCAGCTTCTACTCGTCCTCAATTTACCATTACAATCAGCCTACCGGATTTCAAAAGGTTCAACAATGCGCCATTGATAATCTGAAATCCGACTTGTCGTTTCTCAACTCCGCTGTACCCATTGCCGCAGATGAGTTCATCGAGCGAAGGGATCGTCTTGCGAAGGCCTTGGCAGCATCCAACATCGACGCCTTTGCCCTCGAGCCCGGTTACACCTTTCAGTAAGCTCACATGATCTGTTGAGAGTTTTAGACTGTTGCCTAACTCGTGTTAAGGTACTATGGTAATATATCTCAAGTCGACTGGGAGCCCTGGGAGCCTGAGGAACGGCCGTTCCTCATGTTGGTCATGCCCCAGACGTTGCCGTCCGGTGAAATTACCGGTAAGACTGCGTTCTTGTCACCTCACTTTGAGGAGGGCCGCGTACGCATGCTCGGTATCCCTTCCAGAGACGAGGAGCTAGACATTGTCATCTGGGAGGAGCACTGGAACCCGTACAGCACGCTGCTCAAGTCACGTCTTTTCGACGGCCGCAAGGCTAAAATTATGGTCGATGAAGAGATGCGCGACTTTATTGTCCGCGGCTTGGATTCTGTCGGCTTTGAGACCGTCGGTCTGAACCCCGAAGTGGAGCTTGTGCGCCAACAGAAAAGCCCCGCCGAAGTGGAGCTCCTCCGCGCCGTGAACACCGGGACTGTTGTTGCCGTCCGGGCCATGCGGCCTTGTCTGGTCCCTGGCCTCACCGAAAATGATGTGACAGACATCTTGAACAATGCCTTGCTCTCTATCGACTTCTCTTTATTCTTCAACATCGTCTTGTTCGAAGAACATGGGGCATTGCCACATGGTGGCTTCGTTACTGGGTGGAAGAAGCTGACACCCGAGAGCATGGTGGTCATAGACGTCGGTGCCCATTACTTGGGGTACAGTTCAGACATTTGTCGAAGTTTCTTCATTGACCCGCCGGAGACTCGCTGCAACAGCGCAATTGGCAAGCTTCTAAGATGGTTTGGATCTGGGAAGTCGTACTCCGCAACGCACGAGAATAAGGGGGACTCAGAGCTCCGCGCTGAGAAATTGAAGGTCTGGGACATTGTTTTGGATGCCCAAACTGCGGCTGCTTCAGCTTTCAAGCCCAACAACACGGCAGCTAGTGTGGACATTGCCGCTCGTCAAGTTATCGAAAACGCAGGCTACGGGTACGGCTTTACTCACCGCTTAGGCCACGGCATCGGAATCAAAGGTGCGTATGAGTGTTGGATTTCTAAGCTCGATGGCTAACATTTTAAAGCACATGAGTCTCCATACTTGAACAAGTGGAATAAGGATGTGCTACTGCAGCCAGGCATGACTTTTACAAATGAGCCAGGCATCTATCTCGAGAACCGATTCGGAGTACGACATGAGGATATCTATCTGGTTAGAGAGTCGGGCGAGGCAGAGCTTCTTACTGGACGCAGAGCCACAGGTCCCTACGATCCATGATCAACTCCCTTAAGATGACAGATGTCAAAGCATGACATTCCGGGATGCGCTGGGGTCAATTTCATGCTGATGTAACCTGTGAAGACTAGCAACTGCTTAACCAAAAAACCTGTCTTGTTGATCATTCATCGACTACATGTCTCCGCGGTGAAGTATACTTCGAAAAGAACATCATGGTTCCTCATCGTCTAACCCTTCCGACACCATGCTGATCGGCAAATTTGTACCCGGACGCAACTGCTTAGACCTTGTTCAAGAAGTACTTTGGCTGAGGCACCCTGCTCTGACTGTAACATCAACGTAATCACCAAATCAGCTTGGATGATTCTTTCACGAATCTGGGCCAGTCTAGCCTAACTTTAAGCGGCTGAACGTTCCAGGTTGATCGGGTGCAAGTCTCCGCGAACCAGCGGGAATAGTTGAAACAATAATGATCAAGAGTCAATGTGACCAGCTACAACTCATCATGGCTTGTATTCTCTTCCTCTTGAGACACCACCGGCATTTGACCATTCCAAGGCTGGACGTTGCCTTCCGATATATCGACAATGAACTGCTCCACCGTCTCCGCATTGATTCTTCCGTTGTGCGGGAAGGCGTGTCCAGTTTGTGGATTCTGAAGCGCCAGGCCTTCAGATGCATCTTTCGCAAGCCCAAGGCCCAAAAGCATGTCCGCGTATTCAGAAGAATCCACAGTGACAAAGGTCAGGTACTCGGAGAACCTTTTTGCGAGTGGCCTGATCTCAGTCACGTATTCGTCCCGCCGCACGTCGTCAGAGGTGAAGAAGTAGACTAAAGACTTGCCACCCTGCATCCAATGAGAAGTTGCCCGAAGGTTGGTCAGTGATACTCACACTCAAGTAGTCTATCTCATTCCTCCGCGTCAAGAGGGCCACAAGTGGTGTTTTGCATCTGTGAACAAGTGTTTGCAATGCATCAACTGAGGAAAGATCATTTGCGTTGAACTGGAGGCTGTCGATGTTGTTGTAACAGCTGACGCTGGAATCCGGTACCGAAGTATGGGCGAGTCCGAATGAGTAACGATCGCGGTAATGCGTGGCCAGATTATCAAATCGCACGCGCAGACTCTCATCATAAGGCGCTAAGCGAGCCACGAATACGATGCCATCCCCTTTGTGAAAGCTCTCTACAGCCTCGTCTTTGAGTTCGGATATCGTTGGCCGCTTCATTCGTTGCACGAACGCCATGATGCTGGAGTTTGTCAGCCTGCAACCTCATGAATCAGTCTGGTGCCGATCTTGACGCATACTCTTTTGCTCTTCGGGGCCCACGGTATCTCTGCATTGTGCCGTTTGTGCCATAAAGACGAATTGTTGGGAAAGAAGATATTTCTGTCTCGTCACAGAGCTTGCGGTTCCGGATACAGTTTACCGAGATGGTGTTGAGGTGTTTTTCTCGAATGCTGTCCCATTCAGGCTCGAATCCTATGCTTGCTAGACTGCTAGAATTTCCACATCAGTATATACGATAAGATCTCCATGTCCGCGGCAGGTTTCATCTTACTTTGTCGGCTAGAGACGGATTCGAACGTTGTTCAGTAAGAAGGATGGAGTCATGGGGTTGAGAGGTGCTCACATTGACAACTGCGGTGGGTTAGACCTCTTGTGAACTTGGAGAGCTGAAATGATGGACTTACAAGCAATGAGTGCCGGTACGTCTTGCCCAAGAGATGTGCGGAATTCGTTTTCAGTTGCATACTTCCAACAATGGCCACACTGGGCAGCGGCGAGAGAGACAAGGATACGGTTCAGGAACATTTCTGCGGATTGCTGAAGCTGTGGTATTCAGCCCATGTTGAAGATGGAAACCGGACGTTGAAAAAGACTTGGAGAGCTTTGGATTGGAACTGGTTCAGGGGTGTTACCCCAGTGAAGTTGGGGGCTGACGCCCCGTAATCGCGCCGTTTTACGCTCCCAGGCCATGCAGATCAGACAAGGAAGCCCCTGAACTAAACGCCAAACCCCTCGTACCATTCAGATATCAGCTTGCCAACGCTCGCCCCAAAACACATTGGGTTTCAAAAGCTCCTTTGTTGGATCCATCATCCGATTCAAAATTTTAGACTTGATTGATAACGGAGAACATTCCTCAAGTTTGAACTCCAATTCATCATATTCATCTTTGGCCGCTATCGTACGCAGGCGGCATGATGGGCTTCCTCACGACAGGTACTTTGGCGCTTGCGATCACTTTGGTCCTTTCCGTGGCGGCGGGGCAAGATCAGAAGCCGCTGTCCGGCTATGAGTGCACTCACCCTCCGTACAAGATCCATATGGTTTCCAAATCACCGCTGGTCATTTACATCCCCGATTTTATCACGCCCGCCGAGAGAGAACACCTTCTGGAACTAGGGTACGTTGCTGCGCCTGTCGGACTTCCTCTCCCGTGCTCGCAACTAACCAGCGATCAGAAGCGAGACTTTCACGCATTCAGGAGTAATTGACGCGGCCGGCGGCAAGACTACCCATCAAGTCCGCACGTCACAAAGCACCAGTCTGTGGAGGGATGATGTAGTCCGTTGCATAGAGGAGAGAGCAATAGCTTTCCAGGGCTACAGTGTCCCGAAGAATCACATTGAGCCTCTACAGTTGGTGAAGTACGGCGAAGGTCAGCGTTACCACTTTCACACTGACTGGTTCACCGATCCCAAACACACCACGGCTTCACAGGGTGGTAACCGAATTTCATCGTTCTTTGGTTACGTTTCTGCGGTCAACGTCACGGGCGGAGGAACCAACTTTCCTTTGCTGGACGCGCCGCAAGACGAGCGCTGGTGCAATTTCGTCGACTGCGACGAACCATGGGAAAACGGAGTGACCTTTCGTCCCATTGAGGGAAACTTCGTCTACTGGGAGAATCTACTTTGGGACGGTAGCGGTGACCAGCGCAACTTGCACGCTGGGCTGCCTGTGGTGAGCGGACAAAAGGTTGGGATGAACATCTGGACGAGACAAGCACCACTGAGCAAGGAATTGCGAGGAGACGATTAGCTGTGGCTTGAGGCTTAAGCGTAGTGTTTATAGACACGTTGGACAGGCCCAGATGTCCTAAGCGATGGCAGTTATATGATTTCAAATCAGCCCCTCCCTATCGCCGTGCTATTGCTAATGTTCATGCTTGTCTCCGTGGAATTCCATACTTGGTCTATACACTCTCAACGGGAGATGAAACCTCATTTGTCGTGTTGTTTCGAGCCTCGAATACCCTTTCTTGAGTGAAATTGCCCATTTGGCGGTTTCTGTTGAGTGAGTCTCGCAATGCCAACCATCGAACCTCTTGCCGAAGATGGCGTCTTCCCGTAGAGATCCAAGTACGAATACACTCGTCGATTCTCGCTCCAGCGTCAATCTATCTGATGCGACTGCTGCCAGTGCTCACTTTTCACGTCCTCCATGATTTCGTTTCTGGGGCACTGAAAGTATTGAACAGCTCTAGAAATTGCGTTTTTAGATTGGCGGTTTCTGCACTCTTTTCTTAAGCTGATCGTTTTTCTTTTTTCTCTCTATTGGGAAAGCCAAAGCCATTTCAAACCACTGGTACACATCCATAGCAAGAACTCGTTATAAATGAGGTTGAAGCTCAGCAGGCAGCCTTTGAAACCAGACTGTTCGACGCTGTTAGGGATCATAACCGTGACCCCGTCTTTAGAACACGCTATTCAAGACGTCGTAGGCCAAAAACATCATAGCAGGGAGCCGCCAAGTAACTAACCCTCTACAGCTCTCAACCCTAGAATCAAGTGCCTCTTATTCGACGGCGAAGTGGTAGGATCTGTGCTGGACTACGGGGGAAAGTATGTATGAACCTCACTCAAAGCCTAAGCTTTATCTATCTAACTACTTCACGTAAAGCTCCACGCGTAACCTGCGTTCAAGATATTGTGCAGTATTTTTGGCATCTTCTAACTCTCCCTTGCTTCTTGGCTGGTGCTGTTGGGCTTGGTGCCGCAGCTAAATTCGCGACGCGGTGCCGCAGTACCGCTGCAGAAGGCCATTCCAGGCCTGTGGTGACACCCGTCACACGCGAAACCGAGAGCCAATTTCTCTTAGGCTCCCCTATATCTGTGTTTCCTAAGGTCGTGTAATACCACTCCCAGCAGCCATTTGCTATAGGCTTTAAGGTTTATTATTCCAATCACTATGGAATGCTAACTAACGCGGGTGTATTTTAATACTATTGCCTCTAGTACCTTATAGTTTTATAGAACTGCTGCTAGTAGTGATACCTCACTAAAACTAACGCACTCTACTAATAGCCTTTAGGCTACTTATCTATAGGCTAGTTAGGACTTATATTATAAATTATACTTATTTAATTTTAATTACTACTACTACCTCTATTATTAATAATACTAATTATATTAAACCCTTATATTATTTAGACTAAACGCTATAATAGAGACTTCCTTTTATTAATATAGTTAATAAGCAAGTGGATCAGATAAGCAAGTAGATTAGCCAATAGCAACTATAGCATATTTATAACTAATAACTAATATTAAGCAAATTAATTTAATACAAACTAGTTAAGATCTTCTTCTTTAGATATTTCTTTAGCAAATTAATATATTTACGCATTATAACTAGTGTTCCTATAGACGCTATATTGCTATTAGCCTATCTCTATTCTCAGTTAGTAACTACTACTCTAGCGCGTTTCCTCCTCAATCTGAGCTATAGCCTCTCTCTATAATTAAAGGTCCTCTACTTTAGCTATAGTGAGACTTCCTCCTTATTTAAGATATATTTTCTTAGCCCTCTAGTGTCTATTAAGTAGGTTATTCTCCTCTTAAAGGATCTAGACCTTAGACCTTAATAAAGCAATCTAGTATATAAATCTATATACCCCCTTTAATAGATACTCTATAGCTTTAATAATTAAAGTTAGTAAGCTATTTTAATAGTGGGAAATTCTCCTCTTAATGAGTTTAAACTAAGAAGATGCTTCTATTAGGTTATTTAGTATTTAAGAAGTCTATATGGGGGGTGTTATTAGGAGGGACCCTAGAGGTATTAGAGTATATAACTTAATATTAAGCTTTAATAGTATACTTTCTATACTAAGAGGGATAAGCCTAGCCCCTCTAAAACCTCCCTAGATATTTTTAACTATAAGGGCTTATATAAAAGCCTTATAAAACGTAGGGAAGAAGTCTTCCTTTATAATATAGGTATTGCCTTAGCGTATTTTATCCTTAATTTATTAACTATATACCTTCTTTAGTAGTCTAAAATACCTAACGTCTAAAGGCTAAAGTAAATAAGAGGAATAGGCTAGTATATAAAGTATAATAATATTATTTTCCTTATAATATATCTTAAAGTTAATAGTATAGTAACTTTTATACCTATTAATAATAAGGAGGTAATATCTACTACTTATATATAGTTTTATATACTAATTAAAGTACTAAAGCTAATTTAAGCCTCTTTTATTTATTATCTATCCGTTTTTAAACGTTATAATAACCTAGTTATATAGGAGACCTATTTCTATATACTAGGTAGAGAAGTAATATTACCCTAAAACGATAATATATAGCGGAACGCTATAGCCTAATAAACTAATAGCCTAAATAACTATAACCTATTTATAATTAATAGGCTATATTATTTTTATATTTAAACGCCTCTTAGCACTTATTATAACCATTCTAAATATAATCTAGCCTATTATAAACCTAATCTTATTAAAGTTATAGATATCTAAGTCTATAATACTATATTTTATAATTATATTTACTATAAGCTAAAACTATATATTTATTACGTCTAGGTCTTTATATTAAGCCCTCTTATAGTTATACTTATAAAAAAAGCGCGTCTAGAGCTATAGTTATTACTTAATAAAGTTTAAGGCCTAATACTTCCTAATAGGGGGTATATTATAGTTAGTAAGTAGTTAATTAGCTATATCTTCTATACTACTAATATAGGGAGGAAATAATTAGGAATCTAGGTTGAGAATATACTTAACTAGCTTCTCTTCTTTAAGTATAGTTAAATTTTATAACTTAGGTATAATATTATATTATAATCTCTTTCCCTCTAAATAATAGCATAAGGTTAAAAAGAGCACTAAGTAGATATAAGATATAGCTTAAATACTAAGAGTTAGTATCTTCTTAATAGCTTAAATTGCTAAGTTTATCTAACCTTTATTACTCTATAATGATATATTTAGTTATAGTGTAACGTAATATAGAAGTTAGAAGATAGTTTCGCGCGGTCGGCTGATCTACTCGCTTATCTAATCCACTTACTTATTAACTATATTAGTCTATTAGATATACTATTATACTAACCTACTTAAATACTATAATAGTGTTATTCTTTACTATTTCTAAACTTAATATAACTCTAGTTCTTTTAATCTATAGGTAGTTTAAATACTAAGTAGTTCTATCTTATTAGTAAGGCTCTCTATATTATATAAACTTACTTAACTTACTAATAGTTACTATATTAAAAGTAATACTACTATAGAGGCCTTAACTACTCATTAGGGGCTACTTCTTATTAATAGATCTTATCTATCTCTTAGAGGGCTTCTTAAGTAGTAGCTCTAGCCTCTTTAAGCTATTTAATATACTTAAGCTTAATAATATTATTAATAACGCTTAAAGTAAGTAATACTAAATCCTTATAGATATTATTATTCTTATTATTACTAAATAATAAGGCGTTATATATCTAATAGATAACTCTAAATTTCTACTATAATATTAACTAAAACTATAAGGTTATAGTATTATTAATTCTAAGAGGAATTATATAAATACTTAACTATTTATAATTATAGTAAATAATAATAAACAGTTTAGTCTTAATATAATAGGGTTATCTCTTAATTATAGAGAAGGGTTATTAAGGAAGCTTTAAAAGGGGGGTTAATATTAAAGTAAAGAGAATATTAATATTATAGGAAAGAAACCTACTTCTTATAGTATTAAATAGTCTCTTTTTATATATATCTTCTTAATACCCTAATAAGGCTTCTTTTATATAACTTATAAACCTTTCTCTAATATATAAAATTTATAGAAACCCTCTATTTAGGTTAAAGCTATTATAATTAAGGCTATTATAGTTAAGGCTATTATAGTTTAGCTAGGCCTATAGCTAGAACTATCTCTAAAGTTTAGCTAGTTATTTAGTCTATATATCTCTAGCCTTATCTATTAGCCTTATTATTATTTATATATATATAGTATTAGTTAAAGTAGGGGTCTAAACTATTAGTTAGCCTACCTTCTTATTTTCTACTATAAATATTAGTATAGCTAATAATACTATTATTATTTACTATTATTATTTCTTATTTATAGGGTAGACTATATAAGCTACTGCTAGTAGTATATTATAATTAAACACTAATAAGTATTTTAATACTATTTAGCATTAATGGACTTAGGAACTGCGGTGAAATCCGAGACCGATAGAGTTGGGGCGTTGATGAAGTTAAATAAAGTGAGGAAATTCCGAGTAGTATCTCAGCCTTCCATCGGGTGGAGCGGCGATGAGGATGAGGTCGCAGTGAGGCCGGGTGCGGGCACCGGCACGGCGAAACGCCAGGATCCTGGGTCTTTAGCCGGCCGCGGATCCCGACCACGATGGAGAAGCGGGGCTTGGGGACGGTGAGAGGGTGGATACTGTGGAAAGGGGGAAACGGAGGATTCCTCGAAGACACTGCAGTCAGTATTATGATTTGGCTCCTACCCGAAGCGATGAAGCGCAGTCATTGACGAAGACAAAAAGAGCAATCTCAGACAACCTGGAAGTCAGAAATGTGAGGATACAAGAGCGTGAGCGATTTTGAACGGCGGAAGGAGGGGACCGAGATCTAAAAATAGCGGCCATAGTGGCCAAGTACGCCTACCTTAACTGAGGGTGTAAAGTTGACGGAGCTACCGACCTAGCACGAACGGTCGTGGCCGGTAAGACGATGAAAGCGACGTTTGGAATGAGGATTCGCGACCTAGGTGATCCCGCAGCGGGAGGAAAGAAGGCATATGAGTTGCAAGATTCCATCGCCGAGACTTTGGCAATTTCACGGTTGGCATGTTGGAATTCAGACTGGCGCATGCCAGGGGGGCATTTTGCGAATGCCTTTTTGAGCAGTGCAACGGAACCTCGGTGGCGTCATGGTGGAGCTGCAGGGAGCAGTCAAATTATTAAGGAAGAGTACGTATGAAGCGCAGGGGGAAGAGAATGGCAGTTTGCTGGCTCTGTTGAGCGGTGGCCATTGAAGTATACTAGGTATCCATATTCTGTATGAGCGCCTGGAGAAAAGCTTGACTTGACTCAGAATGCGAGGTTTAGGGGTGGGCGGCGACGCGGTGAGACGTCGTTTGGTGTCTACTACGTATGCCGCATATTGATTGAAGTGGCAGAAGCTGATGTTGGAAGGTTTCACGAATGGAAAGGAGGGCTGGAGTCTAGACGAGGCGTGGAAACAAGATAGAAACGGAAACATGGACAAAAGAAGACGGCGCCCGATTGCTATGTGCTGAGGTAGTGGAGGTTAGTGGCGCATTCACTTGGTACAGATATCCAGAGGAAAAGGTAGCTTCGTATTGAAAATTGATTGCACCGTAAAAAGTCGCTCTCAGGTGGTGGATATGCATCCGTATCCGTCCGTAACCGATCTAACGCTAGAAGTACGTGGGTGGTACCTTCCTTACGGTGACGAGCCAACCAGACGTCGTGTGGAGAGCACAAGCACCACGGACCACAGCCCCCCTGCAAGCCATCAGCCAGATCCCAGTCGGTACGTACCGCGTGTGGCCTCTGGTTGGCTGGCACGAGATATCTCTCTTAAGGTTCTTTTCCCTCAGCTGCCAAGCGTAAAGAAACCCATGATTTGTTAACATCATGAAGTGCACCGATCAGAGTTTCCCTGCTGCTTACCTCGAACAATGTAGTGGGGGGTGGTAGTCTTGGCCTTCCATTTTGTCAATGTCAATGTCACTCACTGCCTTCTCACCTACCTCTCCGAATTCTCCTGTAAGGGAAGCCTCAAGTCAACTGCAGATAGCGGCAGACAGGTGGCCTTTTGGATGATCATCAGAGACAGTATCTTTTTTTTTTCGGGTGTACAGTAGTAAATGGCCATTCAGCATGGCATTCCGCTCGGCCATCCCTACATGCCGTCATCCCTTTCGTCCCTTCATTTTTGGTCTGCATCGCCGTCTGGTCCCTACCTTGAGGTACCTAAGGTTCCAGCAGCTGAAGCCTTGTTTTTCCCTCTTCAGCCTGCATCTGAAAACCCAATCGTTGAGCCTTCTAAGCGCTGGGCCTGAACGAAATCTGTTCATCATTGCTAAAGGAAAATCCTGTGAACATCCATCCAAAGTCCGCCTGTTCCCTTGTGCCCCGACGGAGCAGGTCCGAATTCCCTTCTCCGTGAGGTACGGAATCTGCGAAGTAGGTACTTTTAAGGCAGGCCAAGCCTACTTAAGCGGACAAGGTTCACGAGCCAAATGGAAGGAGGCAGTCAGCTGTAAGGGACCCGTAAGGCACTTTCCGCTGCTGCACCTTTGATTCTACGGATACCTACCATAGTACCAACGCGCTACACTAGCTTAAGGTAGGCGTACGACCAGGCCACGACCAGGCCCAGTCCCGCCGAACTGGTCCCTTTTTCTTTAGTGTAACTTGGCTTTCATTCCCATTCCCATCTTTCTTTCTTGGAAGTGCTTGTCTCTGATTCTACCCGTACCTGGACTGGACCTCACCTTTGAAGGCGAACCTCGCCTCCGACTGCCGCCCGCCCGCTCCATTTCTTCAACTTTGGATATTTCTTCCTTGTTCTCACCCGCAAGCAAAGGCCAGCTTTCCGTCTTCATTTGCGACGGCCTGCCAACTCTGTGTCTGCCTCTCCAGCTTACGCCCCAGCCAATCCCTCCGCATCTCATCCGCATCCGCGCCCGCGCCCGCGCCTGCGCCGGGCCCTTAACTCTTGTCCGGGGTAGCCTGTTCACTCCTTCTCTCCCATTGATTCGCCCTCTCTTTTTTGGCTCCCGTCTGCTGCTCTCTTTACCCTCGACTCTCCTCGAACCTTCCTCTCCTTTTCCACCGTCTCACTCGTCTCCGACCGACTGCGACGACCGCGCGCGCGCAAGCTTCCGTACCACCCGACGCCTTCTTTGTCCGACGACAAACCTCGTGCGCGACCCTTCCTTCGTTTGAATCCTCGTCATACCTCTTCGATACATCTACATTTTTTTTCTTCCAAGCGCGTCCGTCGCCGCCGTCGCCCTCGGCGCTCCTACAAGGACGTAGGCATTTGCGATACAGATCATGGGCTTGACCCGAAGACGGCATGACGTTTGTGTAAACCCGATTGTCGCCTTCAGCATGTTATCCCGCCGCGCCCTCACCGTCCTCGCCCTCGTCACGGTCACTGCCGTCGTCTTCCTCGTCTCCTCGAGAAGACTCGGCGCCGACTGGGCAATCGAAGGCCCCAACTATCACCCATTCCAGCAAGGCCATGGTCCCGCGCCTCCGCCAGGGAGCTCTCCGAGCGCCGGCCCCGGTGGACGCCCTCCTCCCCCGGGCCCTACAGGACCTACAGGAGGAAAGCCCGTCCAAGAAGACGACGCCGCCGCCCAGCACAACGTGACGAACCAAGACATCCCGTACCGCCCTCACGATCCCGTCTGCGATACCTTCCCCGACACGAGCAACATCCTCGTCATCATGAAGACGGGCGCCACCGAGTCCTTCGACAAGGTCCCCACTCAGCTCATGACCATGCTCAAGTGCCTGCCCGAGTTCTTCATCTTCTCCGACCTCGATCAGACCATCGCAAACTACCACGTTCGCGACAGTCTCGACAGTGTTCTCCCCGACGCCATGGACGGAAACAAGGATTTCGACCTCTACCGCCGCCAGAAGGCCTGCCAAGCCGACCAGCAAAGCTGCAACAAGCTCGCCGAGTCCAAAGACGAGGGCTGGAACCTGGACAAGTACAAGAACGTCCACATCGCCGAGAAGACGTACAACATGCGTCCCAACTACGACTGGTACGTCTACATCGACGCCGATACCTACGTCTTGTGGCCTACCCTCGTCCAGTGGCTCAAGAAGCTCGACCCCAAGAACAAGCACTATCTTGGCAGTGTCACCATGATTCGCAACTTTGTCTTTGGCCACGGCGGATCCGGTTACATCATCTCTCAGGCTGCCCACCACGACATGATTGCGGGCAAGCACAATGTCGGCAACCAGTGGGACGTCCGCGCCAGCAAGGAGTGCTGCGGTGATTACATCTTTGCCCTGGCCATGAAGGAGAACGCCGACGTCAACGTTCACAATGTGGTATGTATCCAAACGCCAAGCTGCCAAGGAAGCGCATCTCGCTAACACGCTCCAGTGGCCTACCATCAATGGCGAGAAGCCCTTCACGCTTCCCTACGGCCCGACGCACTGGTGCCACCCCATCGTCACGATGCACCACATGAACGCCGAAGAAATCTCCTCCTTCTGGGAGTACGAGCACAAGCGCTACTCCGACAAGAGCCTCCCGAACCCGCCGCCCGTCACGCGTATCAAGGATATCTACTTCGAATTCTTCGCACCAAAGATGCAGCCTGAACGCGCCGACTGGGACAACGCCGCCGACGACCGCTTCTATCTCGACGAGTCCGCCAACAAGCATCAGGACTGGCAACTCAACCGCGCCAAGTTGGATGATTTGTCACCCGAGGAGAAGGACGCGCACAAGTCGTTTGCTCAGTGTCGCAAAGCCTGCGAAGTCGACGACGCCTGCTTCTCCTTCCAGCACAGAGACGGCGTCTGCGGCTTCAGCTGGGCCTGGAAGCTGGGCCACCCGGTGAAGAAGGAATCCCAGGAGGAGAAGCGCCTGATGTCCGGCTGGGACGTACGCAAGATCAACGCCTGGATCGAGAAGCAGGGCGAGTGCGGTCCCGTCAAGTGGCCCGATGTCTGAGCAGCCACCTCATCAGCTTTCGACTTCAATCACTGAGGATCATCCCGAAGCGATCTATGACGAAACGAAAAAGAAGATCGACGCGCCCAAGGTTTGCTTCGGATGTACGACTGCCATCCTAGGCATGAGACATGACGTGGGTTTCGCGTGGGTCCCTTTCCCACGTCCCGGAGCGCCATGGTCTTGGATACCCGGTCATCTTGGATTTGGCGGGAGGAGAAAACGACACTCTCTTGGATTGCGACGACATCAAATTCTGGTTTCCACTTTGGAAGCTACAAAACAAAGAAAGCCACCTGGCTCGGCATCTATAGAATTAACCCAGCCCAAGCGTGTGTATGTGTGTTTATTTTTCTGTGTGTACAACTATCACGAAAGACGCGGCAGGATATCTTGGAGACGGCTTTGGCGTTATTATAGGATAGTCTTTATTTTTGGAGGGGGGAGGGTCGCCCGGTTGGCCGGTTCATCATTATGCCGACATAGAGAAGGGTTCTTCTGGATATCCGTTTGTAACGCACATAAATTCCGATTCACATGTTCTATTTTTTACCTTGCTCGTAACCTGTTGTCGCCGGATTGCACCGCGAGTGGTGCGATTTTGCGTAGACATGGTCGACCAGAGTGGTTTCAGGTGCTGGCCGGCGACTTTCTTGACTCGGGCGTTGTCACACAAGACACGTTGAGCGCAGAACTTGGTACAACCTTGCGCTCCTTGTCGAATCCGCAACGGCGGTTCGTCCGGCATCTTTCCTGCTTGACAGTTTATTTGTGGCAACGTCGATCATCTCAAGTCGGCGGCTTTTGGTGTGGTGCTGATTCAGACGGGTGCAATAGCAACTTTTTACAATCAGAAACAAGATGGGGTTGACTGTGATCATAACATCGTGAATTATCTATCGTTCTTTTCTGCTGCCCTTTATGCGCTCATCAGCTCGACGCCGCTTCGGATCACCCCGACAACTGCGCCCGTCTGCACAGCCTCGCTGCCTCCGCCCGACACTCGGTGCTCAATGTCTGCGAGCCCGTCCAGCCACTTGATCATCACCTCCGGCTTAACCTCCAACGTAGCCAGCTGCTCCGAGATTGCCGTGATGATATCCGCCAATGCCAAGCCGCGTGACACCTTGAGCGAGTTGATGGTCGTCAGGCAGGTTGTTACGTCGGACGTGCTGAGCAGAGTGTCGAGGATCTCCTGGATGGCGTCGGGCTGGGGCGCGGCGATGCAGTTGTATATCGTCTCGGTCGTGATCATCTCTCTGACAATCTCGCTATCGGGAAGTTTGGGTTCGTCCTTTGTCCGCAGCGGTGTACCTGTACCTGTCAGCTTCCACCGGATCTCGAGACTTGGATGCGGCAGTCCTTACTCGATGCATGGCACGCCTGAAGAACGTTCAGCGCCCTTCTCATGTCTCCCTTGCTGAGCTTGACCAGCGCATCCGTGGCTTCGGGGATGATCCTGACGTGCTCCTCCTCGACAACCTTATCCACCAGGACCCTGATGTCTCGCTCCTTGAGCGGGCTGAAGCGAAACCGCGTGCATCGGGATAGCAGCGCGGGGGACAGCTTGTGCGAGTAGTTTGCGATGATGCAGAATCGGGTGTTGACCGTGTACTTCTCCATGATTCGGCGAAGGGCCATCTGTGCCGTGTTGGTCATGGCGTCGGCCTCGTCGAGGATGATGAGCTTGTACGACGCCATGCCACCGGCCTTGGCAGCGGGGCCCAGCGTGAAGATCTGCTTGGTGGAAGCGAAGGTCTTGATCTGTTCGCGCACGACGTCGATACCACGGTCGTCAGAGGCGTTGAGCTCGAGAACCATCTGCCGCATGTTCTCCGTGCCGTAGATGCGTCGGGCGAGGGCGAGGATCGTGGAGGTCTTTCCGGTTCCCGGGGGCCCGTACAGGAGAAGGTGAGGAAGGCGGTTGGAGTCGACGAACTTGTTGATTGTCGCGAGAATGTCTTGGTGACCCGAGACGTCATCCAAGCTCACGGGACGATACTTCTCAACCCTGTGCTCGCATTCGTCAGTCTTGTCCGCATTCCTGCGGGCAGTAGCAAGGCTCACCAGGGCAGGCTGTCCTCGGCCTCGACGGGAAGATTGGCGGCGCTGCGCTTCTGCTTGGTGTCGGACGAGAAAATAATGTCCTTGGACGCCGGAGCGTCGACGTCCATCTCATCCTCGTAGTCAGACATGTTGTTTCGTGGTTTGATGCCGATCAGTGTGCTGTTCAATTAAGTTGCAGCGGGCAAGCAGGATCGTGCATACCGAATAGTCGCGGCGTGATGCAATTGAGATTTGGGAGACGCGTTGCGACGCGCTGGGGACCCAAAGCCACGTGACCACTTTAGCTCGGCCAATGAGAGGGGGGCTCTCTGGCACACTAATCCGGCACTGTGTCAGCGCAGTAATTTGGTGTAGTCACAGTGCACAACACCTTGCCGGTTTAAGCGCATCTAACCTCTTCCCTTACGTAACTCAGATGAACAGCCCCTGCCAACTCGACTTCATGACAGCTTCCTGTTCAGGCAGCTCTTCCTGTAGGATCGAGTAGCCTAGGATCAAACGGTCATGGATTGATCTCACCTCAGACCACTTTCTCTCAAACGTCAGCTCGGGATCAACGGAAAATAATATTGATGTTTCGTGCTTGTTCTCTTGATTCTTCGCTCTTCGAGCACTGGGTTTCACTCAACCCGCCGGATGTCACCTCTGCCTAACCCACAGCTTGGGTCCGAGCCAAGCGGCCACGATGCTACTCACGCCATGTCCCTGGCACTCATGAGGTCGTGAACCCTGGACGACCAAGACTTCGGTCCCTCACCTCCTCCATGGCGGAGTCGGGCTCGGCGCTCCACGAGTCCTTGGCCGTCAACGCCGCCGGCTCGTCGGCGGTCTTCTCAAAAGCTTATGCCAACTCCCGCCCACCACCACCCCACTGCCTTTCATCTAATATCTCCCACTTTTACCGTCTCACTATGTACATATGCCCGCCTTGCTCGCAGCTTTTTTCTTACTCGCCGTCCCCTCGTCCCATCTCGCTCTTGTTTTCCACTCCATCCAGCGTCGTGCAATGACGGCTCCCGTTGTTGAAGTCGCTCGGCTGCAAGATGCCCCCGCGCTCGCCGAAGTCTTCTTCAAGGGCTTCAACGACGAGTTCTTTCACACACTGTTTCCTCGGAATGAATTTGGACGAGACTACATGATCAAAGCGTATGAGGGGTTCATGCTCTCGAAACAGAACAACAGCCAAGAAGGCCAAGTCTTCGTCGTGAGAAATGAGAAAGGTAACGAGGCATTACGGTGTATCCGTAACCCACATCCCCGAACTCCGTTCCGCCTCCCGTTCCGCTGCCCAACCCCAACCCGCGTGTGGGAGGTTTCCCCGAATTGCCGAGCATCTGCCATGACTCTAGAAACTGACAGCTGCCTGTCACAGGTGGTGTTGCCGCAAGTGCTCTCATCTGGATCATCCGGCCAGAAGACAACGGGACCTGGTCATGGCGAAAGCGATGGCCGGCCGCAAATGCTGGGCAGAAAGATGAGCTTCTAGACCAGTTCTTCACCGATATGGCCACTCAGCACGAGTCCATCATGGGCAAGGATCCGCACATCTGTACGTTGGCTAGCCTCCCCCGGACTTTCCATCCTCGGGTTTTCCCAAGCTCCCACCGGCACCGCCACTAACCCCAGTTGCCCAGACTTCGAGTTAATCGTGACGGATCCTGCCTACCAACGGCGAGGTTATGCTCTCGCGCTGTTGCATCACGCGTCCCGGATCGCTGATGATCTTGGCTACCGCATGTACCTCGACTCCGAAAAGGACGTCAGGCCACTCTACAAACGCGTGGGCTACGCTGTCATTGACGGCGTGGAGCAGACTTCACCTATGGTTCCCATGGTGCGACCGGCCAAGGCATGAGCATCTGCAAAGACGATGGTCTGAGTGAAATTCTCGTTCACTTCACATTCTCTGTCATCTCTGACCTGTAGTTACAAAGCCTGGTGTGAAGAACGCCGCCCAGGGGGAAAGCTGTGTGGCTAGTATACACCAGATGGAAGCCAAACTGGCTTCGACTCCAATTCGCTCGCTATCGCTCCAATGCTTCGCTTTTGCTTTTGCCTTTTCATCTCAAGTCTATGTTTCTCATAGTCCCCTTCTCGTTTCCGTACGGAGGCGAGGCACCCCAGTATTTTTGAGCCCGATCATCGTACCTTGAGTTATACCCCCGGCCCATGTCAGCCTCCGAATACATGGAAGGCCTTCGCGGTCGTCGGGGAGCACTCCCGTCATCCATCTGAACGTAAAAGTCCGCAATGTCGGGATACATGGTGGGTTCTCTCTGCGGGCGTGGGGGTGGGGGTCTCATGGCGTCGATGAGCGTCTGCCGCCTGGTGATCCTCTCCGGTCTTTGAGGAAGTGGCGTTTCTCCCACCCGCCCACCGCTGTCGGCGGTGCTCTCGACCACTGTCGCATCGTCGGAAGCCTCATCCTTCTTTTCCCTATCCTTTTTGGTTGCGAAGAAGATGGCAAAAACCATCTCCATGTCTTCTGGTCCCTGTCTCTCTCGCATGATCTGGTGCGGCACCTCAAGGTTGTCAATGAGATGTTCAATCTCCTCGACAGAGTAGTTGCCTCTGTCCTTGTCGCCAGAGTAGTCTCCTGGCCCGCTCGACCCGTTCGGCACGTGGAAGCGTAGATCGACTCTGCCGAATGCGTATGCTGCCACGACGAGGAGCTCAAACATGAAGCCCGTGGTGTAGAATACCGCTTTGCCGAAGATGACGCTGTTAGTACCAGGCGGCTCTTTGTTGACAATGGCGTAAAGACGAATAGCATGACCAGTCATCAGCAAAAACGAGCCGAAGAACAGCAAAGCCACCTTCACGCGCAGTGATCCAGTGCCGAACTTCTCGGGCTCTGGCCCAGGAATGCAAAGGCAACCTGTGACCACGATCACAGGGAAGGCGGCCAGGAACATGTTGTACGCTGCGCCAAACTTGAGGAGATCGTCCGTCGTCTCGAGGCGGTCGATATTGCCCACAGAGAAGAAGCTGATGATCAAGTTGCTGGCATTGAATATGATCAACGCCGGGACCGAGAGAAGCAAGAAGACCACAAACTGTCCAAAGGCTGTACACCATCCTGACCTCGGATGGATGGAGCGGACGAGACGTTGAGCAAAGAAGATGTTGACGGCGAACAGCAATGCGGCACTGGGTTTGTTAGTGACGAGCCCTGTGGGTTTGTGGACAGGCGTGTTATCTTACCCGCCATTTTCCGTGATCAGAGCCACGAGAACGACACCTCGCGTCGTCACGATCGACCATGTTATTCGAAATATGCAGGTCACCGTCCGTATCATACAGAAATCAAAGATGATATCCGATATCAGGAACTTGTGGCCTCGTTTTGCGTTCCTCCTGTAGATGCTTATATGGACGTATGCCCCAAGCATAAACATAAGCATGAACATAACGGTAAGGGGAAGGTCTAGATTCTTCGTTGGAACTCCGCCTGGGAAGGATGCGTTGGCAGGGTCGGGAGGTCCCATGGGAGGGCCGCCACCTGGAGCACCAACTTGTGCCTGCGGATTGGCATTCGGCGGTGGCATTCCACCTCGACCAGGGGCCGGGTCGCCCATGATAGGGCCGAGTTGTGGAAACGGCGTTTGGCTGACCAAAGTGGTTACTGGGAGAGACGGTGACTCTGATAGAGGATGTGGCGGAGGAACAAATGCCGGGGCTTGCGGTGGTTGAGGTGATGGTAATGATGAAGCAGCAGCAGCAAGTTGTGGAGATGTGTTTGGAGTGTCTGTTGACGGGGATGAGGGGAGGGATGAGGGAGCCGCTATCGGTTCAGGATTGATAAGGGGTCCTGCATTAGGGCCTCTGCTCGCAACAGACGGAGGAGATGGTGGTACTGGCTGCACAGGGGGAGGAGGGGGAGGAGGCGGAGGAGAAGGAGGAGGCGGAGGTGGTGGTGGAGGTTGTGTTTGCGTGACAGTTATTATTGTTGGGGGAAGAGTCTTGATAGTCGTATAGACGATATAGTTTGTTTCGATGATGACTTGGGGAGGTTGGATCTGACCAGCAGGTATAGGCGTCCCGTTGGAACCAGCAGATGCACCTGCGCTTGGGGCGGTAGGGTTGTTTTGAGCAGCTACGGTCGCTATGCCCGGTGTGAGTAGTGGTTTCGATGGTGTCGTCGCTGGTGCCAATGCCGCTGGTATTATTGCTGCCTTCGTTGCCGACGCTGCCGCTCTCGATGTCGAAGCTTCTGCTGGCAAGCCACCTTGTATAGCGGCGAGGCCTTGAGATATAAGAGGGGCAGCAACCGAGAGCAGGCCCGCAATACCGGCCATGTCGGTCAACTGTGTGAGATATTACTTTCCGATGCCCGTTCGGGATGCTTGAATCAGGGCAGGGTGGAAGAACAATTTGTGGAGACAATCGGAGTTGGGACTGATGAGAAAGGAAAGCCTCTTGGAGAAACGAAACAAAAAGGGACAGGTAGAGTCTCAGGTAAGAGCTGTGAGCCCCTACGTGTATGGAATTATGTGGAGGTTCCTAATGACAGGTATGAAATGGGCGTCTTGGTGCATGACGGCTCATCTGTATTGATGAAGTGAAAACACCAAAAGAGTAAGCGGGTCTTCGTGCAGTAGCGGGCTGACCCAGCTCAACGACTCCAGATAGGTAACGGTGGAACGGTCTGCGGGAAATCGGACCAGATACGAGTGAGGCGATGGGTATACCGCAAAGGGAAGGGCGTTCGGAGACTCTGACCAGGGCGTAGACGGGCTGAGTATTATCGGCGTAGGGCTGTGACGATGTAACGTCTTTGGCGGAAAACCTGTTGGTCTGAGCTGCGCGGCCGTTCGACGTATCTGGCTGAGAAAAGCCGGTTCCTGGAAATATGTAATCGGTTTCCGCTTCGTCCGCTGACGACCCTCTTGTTCGTTTTCTTGTCTGGAGAGATTTTAGAAATTTGAGAAATACGGAGGGAACCGCTGCCACCCTTATGAGAATGGTTTCGATCCCACCTTCAAAGGCTCTTTGCGCTTCCTCCTCCTCTTCCTCCTCCCGCGTCCCCCCTCTACCTGACCATCGATACTACCAGTCTACGACACTGAACAGCGCCTCAGCCGCGGGCCGGTATTAGGAGTCGAAGTTGACTCTAGACATTTCGCCGAGTTGCCCACTCAGGCAGGTGGTAGGAGGAGGTTCGGCGCCAAACCGTTTCAGGAGCCGTAGGGGAGCGTCGAACCATTTCCATATCGGGGTCAGAGGCGCGGGCTCCAGCCTCATCTAATCGCAACGACTTGCCCCCAAAGGGGCAATGAGCTCAGAAGCTGGGTTTTTCGTCCCGTCTTTTCGAACTGTCGTGTGCCTGTCTTGCCTGTCTTGCCTGTCTTGCCTGTCTCTGCCTGTCTCTGTATGTGTCTGGCCTGTCTGGTGTGTCTGTTCGCGCCGTTGAGTGATGCGAGCCAATACGACCCATTCTGACGGGACTGTCAGCCTGATGGGGTAAGTTGCTGTCACCTTTGACGCGAGTCGGCCACTGCAGTCTACACTTTCTCGTCGTCTTTGAATTCTTTGAAGACGTGAATAGTGCGAGTCCGAGCGAGGTTAGTGGTTGGCACAGCAGACGTTCTGATGGACTACTATCCGCCCTTGGGCAGTTCCCGAGCAGTTCCCGATTCTCCCCCTCTTTCACTATTTTGGTAATCGTGAGGATTGGCCGGTTGTTGAATCCCACAAACACGCGTATCTTGTAACGCGATCTCAACCCGAGAAAGCGGCCCGCGAAGTGAGGACCACGATCTGAGCAAGGAGTTAGGTTCAAACTATGAGCTTCACCTACACCCACCAGTACATACATGGTCTTTCGATAATAACCAGCGTCGGAGAAATCTCAACTTTTCAAGTCCAAAAACCATAGTTCGAACTCGTCTGTCCTGTCCTGGCGGTAACCACATGCGGTGGTCTTTGTAGTTGGTCCAGTTGTCGCAAAGTCTTGAATCCCGTTCGATGCTTCACCGAAGAGGATCTCAAGAACCACAGTACCGCTGAGAAAGTCGTACCTGATGTTAGCCATGCTGGTCGATCAACGCCGGTGTCGATGAGCCGGCCTGTCTATCGGGACAATAGCCCGACCCGTTAGCGATGGGATCACCACACTATGCCTGCGAAGATCTGCCTCAAGCTAGCGTCAAGCTTAAAATCACGCGGGAAGCATGATCGCAAACTGGCCTCTGCACGCTGATCCGCAGGGAAGCACATGCCGGGACAGCAGGTGGACGGCCGTGATATGATCTACCGTCGAGCCCCCTGACCCTGACGCGTGCCGCCGCAGCGTACAGCAGGGTTCTCGGTTTCGTACTATGATACTTTACGTAGTAAGGTGGTGCCCAGCGGCTCGGGAGGGTGTTCGGATTTGGTAACGTTGTTCATTCTCCGCGCAAACACCTGTCAGCCTTCCTGGGCAAGCAATAGAAGGGTTCACAGAATGATCTTGGCGGTCGGTCAAGAATCGCAACCCGAGCCTGCGAGAGAGTTAGAGTCCGGACGTGATACATATGCCATGCCAAAGGTACTGTGAACCAAACTCTGCCGTTTTCTTCGGAACGGTTCCGACTAGGGGTATCCTAACCTTTGCCCACATTCCGCCCACACAATCTATCAGAATTTCCGCGGCGGAAGTTGCCCTCGACAGAATAAAGAAACGTCAGGATCCGACGTCTGCCAACAACGTGTCAGCATACTTGGTCTCGACTCCGCTCCTCCGAGTCCGAATTCCGCTTTTACGTACGCCTGAGACATCGGGCCCGGAGTGACGCAAGGCGCAGCGGGTTTCGAGCAATTGCGCAGCCAAGCCCGTCTCCAACCAGCCGAATATCTGCTGGTCCGGAAATGCTAGATACAAGTGCTGTCTAGAAAGAGTATGAGAATACAACGGCCCGGTAGATGTCCACATTTTCATTACGACTGTAGGCTCTTCCGGCTGATTGGACTTACACTATGTGCTTTTTTTTTCTGGGCCTTTCTCTTGGGACAGCTGGTTTTAAAAAGCCTTGATCCTGGCTCTCGGTCTCAGGAGTGCACCCACCCATTACCCCGGACAAAATAAAACTCGTATCCTTGCAGTAGATCCCGCTCGCTGCGACAGACGAGGCACAGCCACAGCTTTGTGCCCGACCTTCCTATTTGAAGACCTTGTACTCCAAGCACTTTCACCGCTTGGTGCTAGGTGCGGGCTGCGATAGCTTCATCGGTTGGATCATTGAAGATGATGCGGTTGGAGGCCGCGTGCCTTTGATGTGTCGTCCGGTGATGGCTGCCAACTACACGTCAAGTGATCGTCAGCTGTCAGTCATGATTTGCTCGCGAGCGATCTGTGAACTTTCAGGTTCAGCAAGAAAGGATTTGTAGGTCCATCTCATCAGTCAAACCAACACAGTGGTAAAAACTACTCAAACGACTAGAGTTCAGGCGACCTACGCTGAGTCTCAGGCTGTGGATGGACGACACGTAACGTACCGGATACCCGGGAGAGCACAAGTTTGATGTTTCCAAGACGTTGATCCCTTTCCTCATGTTGCGTTAGAACGAACTGTGTCGATAACTTCAGTCAGCTCGGATTTTCGGCAGTAGACACGGGGCTGGCAACGTCCCGTACATCGACAACAAATCAGAACTCGGAATATTCGGGTGTTCCTCGCACATTCGTCCCGTCCGAGCAGCGGTATGGGGTACACTGCCGAGACCGAGTAGGTTATGTATCTTGTCAAGTCAGTCAAGTCTTCTAGGCTTAACGCGTCAACAGATGTTTTCAGACGACTCGGCAAACCCGGTCACAGGTGACGTCGTCATCTGGACTCAGGCCAGAAATCAACATGATAGCAAGAAAGAACTGCCGTAACACCTCGGGATGCTCATAAGTCCACGCCAAAATGCCGAGCCTACTACCGAACTCGTGAAGCGTATTCGGGGTATGAGAGCACTAGGCGCGGCACTTCCGCCCATCGTTGCTCTGGCGCGGGAATCTTATTCGGGTTCAGACTGTGAGACGAAATAAAGATTGCCGTCCTAAGCGTTACAAGCCCATCTCGAATCCGATGGTGTTGGGCTGAAGTACTACTGATAATTCGCGTCCAGTCGCCTTTGACTTGAGCCACCAAAACGTATCCGTCGTCATCCGTCCCCCGTTGCTATGTTGGGCACATGCCTGAGTGAATTTACAGAAATAGTACGGAACCTCCCTCCTTTCTCTTCCCTGTGATGATCCTAAAAACAACTTACACTCATACTAGTAAGCCAGATCATGTTTGCTGGGGCGGATGCTACTCAAAACCTAAGTGCCGCTCGCCCGCGCTCAAAACCGGAAGGCTTCTAGAAGGCGTTGATAGCAGTACGAGAGCCACCATGCCTTAATTGGGGTTTTCATGCGTGGTTATCGAGTGACCAGGTTTCAGAAACACTTGTCGTCTTCGCATGGAATTCCGGTTTCACGCTTCCAGTGGGAGCGACGCTTGGGCTCATCGTTTCGTCTGATGCTCCCCTCTCACAAGTTGACAACTACAATTCGCACTCGCAATGACCGCCGACGGGGACATATGCCGAACTGCGTTGACGGCTTTCCAACCCAAATTCTCAACAGTCGGCTTCGACGGCATGCCGAACAGACATACGTATGTGGGCTCATTTACCACAGCCCCTCCAACACGCATTTCTTCGTGGGCGCCTTGATCTAAGAGCGAGTCTTCCTATCACTCTTCCACCTCCCAACATCCCCCAACCATGACTCGCAACGTCATTGCAGATGGCATGTAAACCCAGCCAGCTCTCACTCAGCAGAATACCATCAAAACAAGCGGGGCGGGTTTTAGAGTTGAAACATATTATCCTTCTCTTGTGGCTTCTTCGACCTTCTGCCCAACAAGTAGACCGGCCGTTCCAACATTCATCAATAGCAAGCCACCCTCGGCCGCTCTGACACATGCCCGGTTCAGTCTGCCCATTTTCCTTTTATTGGCGCCAGGAAGCACGTCCGCTCCTCTCCCGTCTCTCTTAGAATTTCCGACTTTGATAGGGGTTTCGCCCACATGACACACGGCTTGCCAAACTTGAATCCGTCAAACCGGCATTGAAGACCACTCGCGCCTCTTCATTTGCCTCATTAAGGAACGGCAAGCTGTCACCACACTACCGACTGCCCCATTCCCGAAAGGAGCTTGAGAGAAGATGGTCAACACGGGACACCCGAGCAGAGCATGCAAGCTCTGCCGCGCGCGAAGGATCAAGTGTGACGAGACCAAGCCGTTCTGCCTGAAGTGCGCGAAGTCGAAAAGGGTATGCCCGGGCTACCGTGACGCTTTCGAGATCAATCTTCGCGACGAGACTCAGTCGACAATCCGCAAGGCCAAGTCGGCCGCTCTACGGAAGGCTATTCGTGAGGGTCGCGCGACGGAGCAGGACGCGGAAAATGAGAGTCAGAGTCAGAGTCAGAATCAGAGTCAAAGTCAGAGCAAAAGCAAAGTGACTGAATGGACACCACCACCGCCACCACTACCTCGAAAACAACAGATCATCGCCATTCCCGAAGATGACTGGCTAGACAGACACTCCACTTCATCATCTTCCGACGTGTCCCCTTCCATGTCATACGCGTCATCGCTCTCATACATCAGCAATCAAGCGCCAGACACGTTTGTTTCGTTCAAGGACCTGGAGGGAGGCACATACGGCATGCCGCAGACGTTACAGACACCACTCGACCAGCAGGCTACCTGTTTCTTCCTGGCAAATTATGTTCTGGCGCCTCCGACTGGCGTTGGACGAGGTATCCTCACATTTGTTCTGCCGCTGTTGAACATTCCGAGTTACCAGTACTCGCCGCTGCAATCGGCCTTCTCGGCGGTTTCGATGGCCGCCCTCGCCGGAAGACCGAATTCGCGTCGATTGTTCTCAATGGCGCATCTTCATTACAGCAAAGCTCTGGAGGACTTAACGCGAGCCATGCAAGACAAAGTCGCGGTGAGGCAAGACACGACCCTTGCTTCTGCCATCTTGTTGGCATTTTACGAGGGGTTGGTATCGGACGACGTGGAAATGTCTGGCTTCAAGAAGCACATTTCAGGAGCAACAGCCATCGTGAAGCTGCGAGGGTCCCAGCAGACAGCAACGGGGGTAGGACTGAGCATGTTTGAGTTTGTACGAGCGACTTCGGTAAGATCCCACCCTTCATCCACCGTTGGCTGATCAAATACTCACATTTGGTAGGTGAGACAATACACATTCTTCTCCAATATCTCCTTGGAAGATTTGACCTGGTGGGCCCGTCAGGCAGTTTGCGACACTGTTGGTCACCAGGCACTCGTCTTGAATCTGCAGACGACGCTGATTCGCGCCGAAGCCGACAGCCTGCTCAAAGGTGCAAGGACAACAGACAAGATTGACAAAGCTCTGAAACTGCTGCAAAGAGCTCGAAAAATGGACGACGAACTTGGCTTGTGGTTCGACAAGTGTCCTCCGGCTTGGAGAAAGGTCATTTCGGGTTCGGCCATCAACGTGCCGGACGACAAGATCGCTCTGGTATCGGCGTTTCCAGGGCCCATATACGATTATCCAAACGTTTGGGCTGCAGGCAAGCACATCAACACCCACGTTTCCAGATTGCTACTTAACCAGGTGGTTGTTCGGTGCATCGCGTGGGTTTGTGCACCGAGCGATCACACCTTGACCAAGGAATACATTGACGCAAACAAGATTGGCAAAGAGCAAGTAGCGGACATCATCTCAAGCACGCCGTACTTTTTCGGGTGGACCGGAGATGCTCTGAGTACGCCATACTTCCCCTGCGGAACATCCGAGATGCCGAAAGGCCTGGCTGGTGTCTCGTGCATGTGGCCACTCTTGGCCACTGGCTCGAGTCGATTTGCAACCAGGAGGCAGCGCATCTACGTCAAGGCCCGTCTCGCAAAAATTGCTGAAGAAATGGGCATTCGGCAGGCCGACGTATTTTCAAAGGTGAGACCTCCCAAGTACCCCTAAATGACCAGGTGGTTTGCTAACAGTCACAGCAAATCGTGCTAGGTGCGCCGGAACCAGACCACGCAAACAGTTACTGTCCTGACACATATCTTCATTTGCGTACGTAGTTCAGCGTTGAAGAATCATACCCCTGTTGCGTTATGAATGAAACCTGACCGCCAAACAAAGCGTATGACCACCGTCTTTTGTGAAACAAATACTTCATAAAGCCCATCGCGGCAAGGATGTTGAATTATCTCGAACGTGCAAAGATGCCATGTTACCACAGATGAAGTTGAAGCTATCCGTTCGGAAGTCATCTTTCAAGTACTGTGTGCGGTCGCTGAAGAACCAGAGGAGCTGTTGGTCTTGACTCCATTCTGGCCATGTAGCGTAGCCTCCGATCCCGACATTCGGATCTTGATTGTAGAGAAAGTTGAGATAATACGTCCTCGTACTTTGCCGGGCAAACGTAGGCAAGACCCCGAGAAAGACTTGGATGATATCTGAAGCGTGAAAAGTGCCCACCAGCGGGGTACCGTAGTTGTAACTGTTGAGGTACGACCAAACAGGAACTGAGGGATATTTCGATTTGGCAACGACCAAATACGAGCGCCTGGCAAGAGTGAATACGAGATCTCCCAGAATGGCGGCTCTGCGTTTGAAACCAGGACAGATTTCGTTCAAAATTCCAGTGCGAAACGGACTCCCCGACGAGATCCGGCGGTCGTAGGCGTTGACAAGGGTGGTTAATTGGTCTTTAGACGCGTTGTGAAAGTAAAATTCGGACAAGTAGTCGACTAGTTGGGAAGTTGTCGCGACTCCGGGTTGAAAGAGGGCAAACAACGTCCCTTCGTCCTCCTGGTTTCCTATAATCATAGGGATTGCCGCATACCGACCGTCTCTTGCCAGTATATCAGGACTGTCTCTCAGTGCAACTCCGTCTGGTCTTGGTACGTATGCGAGAGCGAGCGATTCGTATGACAAGATGCTCGGTACGGAGGCAGCCGCATTCAAGAAGGTTTCGTAACTGACGGAACGAAGACACTCCAGGGTATTGGTTGAACCCGTACAACCAGCAGCTCGAACCACGTCATCGTAAATGGATTGACCTTTCGGACAGTCGATCGGGTCTGCTGGGACAACGCTGCCGGAGTTCATGATGGCTCCCCGAAACAATGGCCGTCCTTTGTATCTGTTGTCCCCATCATATAGAGCCATCTGATCGAACACAGAGATGGCTCCAGCTGATTCGCCCCAAATGGTCACTTTGTCGGGATCTCCTCCGAACGCGGCGATGTTGTCGGCGACCCATTCCAGAGCCATCCGTTGATCTAAGAGCCCGAGGTTGGAAGAGCCATCCTTGAGAACTTCGCGTCCTGGAAGAAAACCAAAGCCTCCGAGGCGATAATTGACCCCGACAAATATGAAGGGCTGCTTCAAATCGATCGAGTCGCGAACAAAGCTGGCACCGTTGTAAGAAACAGTCGACCCGAACTCGAAACCACCGCCGAATATCCAGAACAACACGGGGAGTCTGGAACCTGCTGACGTTCCTGCGGGTCGTTGGATTGTCACGGTCAGACAATCCTCTTGGCCAGTAACGGGCTGAAATATTGGAAGTGTGAGAAGCGATCCGAGAGCATCGAGGATGATGTTGCGGCTATCCGAGGACAATACAAATTGAGGGCAGGCAGGAGCAGAGCCAGTCGCGTCAAAATCCACGAGAGATGTGTTGAATCTTGTGGGGGGTCTCAATCGCAGTGCGCCCACAGGTGGCTTGGCGTAGGGAATACCTGCGAAGGTCTCGACAGACCCAAACGTCCGGCCGCGAACGGTTCCAGCACCAACATTGACGGAGGCTTGGGCAGAGCGTGGGTAGTGGGTTCGATGCTCAGAGCTGGCTGCAGCAAATAGCGGGAGCAAAGTAGATGCTAGCGCCGATACTGAAGCAGCCTTCATCGTAGGATATGGGTAGCGATGTACGCCAAAGAATGCTGAGAAATGTATTCTAGACAGAGAAGAAGAATCCCAGTCGATCTTCCAGGGACCGAGCCTCAAATAACCGTGGAAAGTCGGTCACCGTAAGGGAGCGAACGACACTCTCCTCCCATTGTCGTATCGCACCTAGTGCAAGACAGTGTCTCGCGGAACTCGCGACTCAACGGCATTTCCCACTATTGATTCGCCCATGACTGTTCGAGGCAAGTGTAGACCGAAGTGAGGCCCTTTTACAATGTTCCCCAAACAGAAGCACGTGAAAGACTTGGAAGTCCAATCGGCATACCGCAGATCACGAGAACCCTCAAAAGAAGCAAGTTTCTAGCGGGTGTGGCGCTGCTGTCATTTCAGTGTGCTCACGAGAGCTGGTTGTGATTGGTAGAAACGTTGCACGCGTCGGGAATATGCACGGCGGCTCGGCCGTATTCGCGCTGCAGCCTGTGGCATCGTCTTCGGTCGCAGTCAACGCTGAGATCGGATCCTGAACTAATCCTGAATCATCGCGAGGGAGCGAAGGTCTGATGAACAGGTGGGTGTGGAGTCGACCGACCCGAGAGGGTGGGTAGGCAGGCAGGCAGCCACTCAATGCCGAGTGGTGACGTTGAGTATAATGATTTGGTGTGGGCAACAGGCAGAAGAGCCTGGCAGACTAGGACACAACTAGAGATATTGTATAAGCCTACGCAATGAGAAGGGAGATGGTGAGGGCTGATCATACCTTTTCGCCAAAGACATGTTTGCCAATGCATTTGTCTATTGGGTTAATGTCACTTTTGTGTGAACGAGGCAAAAGTCATCTTGTCTGGAAAAAAAGCTCATATTTATGAATGCCGTGTGGCTATTCGACCCTCCGAAATGGCAAACCATGCCAAACCAACCCTCTCTGTTCCTCATGGTAGCAAACAAGGCCATGATGATCCTAGTCGTGGCTGGAAACCCAATGCTGTATCCGTCTATCTCGTAGAGAAGTCTCAATCGTAACTCTCATCGCTGTACTGTGTATCCCGCAACTCCAAATCCCGAATGAGCCAAATGTCAAAGTTCCCAACCGATGGCTGTACCGTTAGCCACGGAGAAAATGCCAATGCTCCTCTTCAAACGCCTCGTGGCCTCGTTATGCAGAGATCAAATCGCCATGCAATGCCTTCAGACGACTACTCCCACCTGCCCGCTTTCCTCGTCAACTAAACATCTCCGTTTCCCACTGAGAGGCATACCGTCGGGTGCCTCTTCCTCGAAGCTACCGTTAAAGACTTCGGCGAGGGCTTCGCGATCACGTCGTCGCTTCAGTTTGTCGTTGTTCGGCTCCGCCTCCTCTTCCCACGTCTCGATGTTGTCCTCGTCGAAATGTCCCACAATCTCCTTGCCGAGAGCCTTGCCGAGTCGCTCCTTCAGTCCCAAGATTGGCCAGATCGGCACTCTCGTGTACTCGATGCGAATGCCGCCTTTGTCGGCCGCCTCTCCCATCTTCTCGGCAAGGGTCTTGCCTGCCGTTACGCGTGGGTTCTTGGTGGGCTCGTGGAACTTGCGCAGGAGCTCCGCGGTCACGACACCCTTGTACACGATGAACTCGGACGCCTCGTTATCGTTGCTCAAGATGTGCACCGTCACGTCGTGAAACTCGGGCTCGCCGAGGCCAAATGACATGGGCTTTGAGGGAAACCACTTGTTCGCTGTAGGCATGGGCTCGCCGTAGAAGCGCCTCTGCGCCAAGGCCAGAACGATGCCGACCAAGAGAGGGTCGTGGTTCGCGTTGGGAGGGACGAACATCTTGGATCGCAGCTTTTGCAGGCGCTCGACCGGTCCGTTGTAGGATCGATTGGGCCCGGGCATGACGCGATACATGTTCCGCCTTGTCGCGGCAACCGAGGCCTTGCCGACGTACGCCAAAATAGGCTGGGTGTAGGTACCCTGCTGGCTGCTTCCGCCGCTGCCGGTACCGTCGGCGCCGGTGGGGACTCCGAAAGACTCTGCCGGGCGCGTTGAGGCCGACTCGAACGAGGCGATGGAGCCAGTGCGCGACGGGGTTGCCTCCCAGGCAACCTGGACGCGACAAGTATCGCGGTAGACCATGCCACCGAAGTAATGATGGAGGTCGAGCTGGGTCTTGACGCGCGACATTCTGCCGGGGTAGAGGGTGGACATGATGGTGCGTATCGAGTTGGTGTAGAACTTGTTTGTTCCAGGAGCCAGCATAGCGGTGAGCTCGCGGCTCAAGGACGTAGCGGCAGGAGAGGGCTTCATGTGGCATCTCGAAGGTGAGACGGGAGTGCCGCGGGGTGATTGAGGAGGAACCGGGGTATCGCAAGGAGGCATCTCGATGAATCTCGCGTCGAGGAGGCGGACGTGGAGGTCGGTCCAGCAGATGGGGCGGACGAAGAGAGAGGTGCCGGCGTGCTCCCACATGAGGTCGTAGAGGGAGCCATGATCCGGGCGGAAGAGGCGACGTCTTCTTCTGCGCTTCGCGGGGGAGGAGGACATGGCGGGAATAGGACTCGAGGTGGGAGGCGTTGTGATGATGGGCTCTGGGGACGACAATGTCGAGGCAGTCGGGGCGCTGCTGGGGAGGTCCATCTTTGTGAAGGGTGAATCGGCGAGGTTGCGCAACTGTCCGAGGAGACTGCTTCTATGAAAGACTGACCTTTTGGATCGTTAGCATATTCGTCGCGGGAAGGGGAAATGAGAAACAAAAAAAAGAGACGTCGCAAAGGATGGTAAACAACAATGAAGACCGACTATGGAAAGGATAGTCTTACTCTGAAATGAGCATCGGGGTGTGGCGCACTCCCTTTCGTTCTTTTGGGGGCTCTTTTTGGGGGGGTACTCCGACGCGATAGCGGTGGATGATTGACGGGGCAGAAACGGGGGGTTTTGGTTTTGCGAGTCGGAGACGGCGACGGGGGTGGAAGTCGGCACAGGCGCAGGCGCAGGCGCAAACAAGGACGGGTGCGCGACGGGGACGCGCTGTTGATTGTCGACTCTTGACTGACGCAGGCAGGGGGAAAAACGAGAAAAGAGGACCCGGTTCCGCTAAGACGCAGTGGTCGGAGAATATCCGTAATCGTTTGCGACCCAGGTTGGAATATTTGGAGCTGGGTTGTATTCGGCCTGCGACGAAGGTCGAAAATCTGTTGAGATCGACGATGCCGTACACTAGGGGCCAGTGCCGCGTGCGCAAGAAAAAGAAAAGTTGGCGATCCGGGGGTAGGAGTGGGAAGGGGGGAAAAGAAGCGGCGGGATGTTAATATGCGTTTGCGGTGCTGCACTGCTGCGCTGGTGGACAGTGTTGGTGGAGGCAGAGGCAGAGAGAGGAGGGGATATCGTGGGAGAAGTTGGATCGCTGAAACGTGGGCTGCGCGAGTCAAATATTGTCGTCGACCACGATCACGTCGACGTCTTTCATCGAATGTGGGCGACGGGCGGCAAAAGAGAAAAAAAAATGAAAAAAACTGGGAAGCTGCAGTCTAAAGGTAAGGAAGGCACTTGAAGTGTGCGTCCACGTCGCGCCTGCCTTGGATGCTTTCCCGGTGGTGCTTGTCAAACCTGTCCGGAATAGGCCAGAATGGTCACCTCGCCGGCCCTCGTCGGTGACTGAGGTGCAGTGCGTCCAGGCGGTGACCTGTCACTGTCCACTCTCCCCCACCGCAGCCAAAGGGCGCGACTTGCCACCCGCTTGCAGCAGGAGCACTGACACGCTGGACGAGCGAAGTCATGTGATCCTAGGCATCAGCCCCTCTCGCTTAGCTGTGGGTGGAGACCCAAGACGTGGCCCGTGTGGCGTCCAGGTTCATGCCTGAGTCATCAGCCAGCATCCATCCCGTGACATCAATCTTATCACGTGATACTGCTGAGTCACCTGGGCTCTAGACAGCTGCGCCACGAACTACCAAGTTCCCCACACGGGGCGCTGAGGTCTCACCGTGACCGCCCGTCGGCAACGCTGAGCTCCATTTTGGGAGACGTCAGTCGAGCCCCACCATTCCCTCCATCGGTGCACCTGCTTCGTGTGCCTCAGTCGACGTCTTCCCATTGCGCCCAATCCCATCACGACCAGCTACATTCTCGAGCACACCAATTCGCTGGTCACGAAGCTGTCAAAATGCCGGTACGTTCACCAATCCTTCTCGAGGCCGATGCCACGACCTCGACCAAGCTCCTGTCAGAGCTAGAGCAGCGGCCTTGTCCGCCAATCCTTCTCAACCCCAAGCTGACGATGCCCTCCTCTTCCAGGCCTACAACTCCATGTTCAATGCCGACCCCAATGCCCCTCGATTAATAGGCAACTTTCCCCTCCTGCCTCTGCGCACAAAGACCCGCGGCCCTGCCTACACCCTCCCCTTCCCCAACCCGCCTCTGCCCGCCAACGAGTCCCCCGACCCGGACAGCGAGAGCTACGACATCCTCGATGAGGTCCTCGCCCTCTTCCGCGCAAACACCTTCTTCCGCAACTTCGAGATCCAGGGCACCGCCGACCGCCTGCTCGTCTACGGCATCTGGTTCGTCAGCGACTGCCTCACCAAGATCAGACCCAGCGCCGGCGTACGCGATGCCACCAAGGATGTCATGAACCTCGCCCTCGACACCAACTTTGCCATTCCGGGCGACCCGGCCTGGCCCCTGAACCAGGTACGTTACTTCAACTGCTCGTGTCCGTTGCATCTCTCTCTCGCTGACACCACCTTCGTCAGATGTACGAGCCTCCCCGTGACAGACAAGACGCCGAGCAACTGCGACAGTACATGTCCCAGGTCCGACAGGAGCTGGCGGTGCGGTTATTGGCCAGGGTCTACGACGAGAACGGTGACGGAAAGCCGAGCAAGTGGTGGCTGAGCTTCACCAAGAGGAAGTTCATGGGCAAGGCGTTGTGATGTGCTGGTCAAGAAAAATGCCGGGTTGAACTTCGGAAAGAATGCGTTTGTGTGACTTTAGAGCGACCAAGGCCAAAGATGATGCCATTATACTCCGATGCGGCCCTAAGAGCCTGAATCGTGAATGCCGGGGTATCTATACGCAAGCGGGTGTCAAGTCTTTTCCCCCTATCCGTCCCGCATCGTGCACCCTCCGCTGTGTGCGAATTTATGACTCTACAAAACAATTCTCTCACGACCTACGCCTCCGTCTTTCTTCTCTTAAACTTGCCGCGAGCCTCCACCTTGCCCTCGGCGGGGACCGCCTTCCACCCGGTAAAGATGTAGCCCTCTGCTCCGCCGCGGCCCATCATCATCGGATGCGTGCGGCCGGGGAGCACCTGCCAACGTTTTGCACGACTGGTCTGCACATTGGCACCCAAGAGAAGGGTCGGGTTGATGGGGAAATCGTCCGATCCTTCCCAATGTTCCAACTCCTGGATCGACTTTCCAGTGGCCTCGGCCGGGGGATTCGTGGACCAGCCTGCACGGCGAGCGATGCTGAAGCAGTCGGCGAGCTCGGTCAGAGGCTCGATGCTCTGTGAGTAGATGGCGATGGGGGCTCCGCCGGCCAAGAGCGGCAATGTGTGGCGCAGAACAGACACGACGTCCATGGTCGTCGCAATGACGAGACCGGAGAAGCCGCCCGCACGCGTCGAGTCGACTATATAGCGTGTGCGAGCCCAGCGTCTGCGCTTGCGGTGGTAGTTCCCTCGGCGGTTAGCCTTCCAGGAATGGAGCACCTCGTCCGAGACCTCAGGGGGCTGCGTGGAGTATGTGACGTCTTCCTCGGGCTCGAGGAGCTGGAGCCAGGAGATGGGGAGGAGATTCGTCGCGAGAGGGTGTAGGGGGTAAGGCTGGTTCGGAATGGTGCTGTCAAAGTTGTAGTATTTAAGGAGGGCGAGGTTCGGCTGACTGTTCGGGTGCACGAGGGTCAGAGTGTTGGTGGGCGCGAAAACAGACTCGAAATCGGCGCGACGAGGAGGCTGTCTTCGGCGAGAGTGCTGCTGCTTCGGTGCTTCTCCGTCCTTCTCGCCTGGTGCGTCGGCCATGTCCTCGTCGGCTCCTGTTGTTGCCTGGGGAGCAACAGGTTCAGTGTTCGCATGCTCGGCATCCGCACTCGTCTCTGTGGCCTTGTCTCCGTTCGGCACGGTTTGAGCAGCATCCTTATCCTCCTCCTGCTGGGCGTCCTCTTCATCGTCATTGGGGTATAAGAAGCCCATTCTCTCGGCCATGGCCGCGGTCACGAGACCTCCGGTGTCGTCCACGACTAACCACCGGCCGCCAATCTCGGACTTGTCCAACATGCCAAGACCATCGGCCGTTACCACCTCGGGCTGATCGGTAGGGGGAAGCCCACCAAAGTGAACGTTAGCCCAGCAGCCAAGCAGACCCATCATCTCCTCCCTCATCTCCAGCACCTTGCCCGCGTCCTTCTCTTCCAAAAACCACTTGCCCAGGGTCAAGGGGTCGAGAGGCTGTATCGTGAAGCGGCGGATGTACTTCTTCGTCTTGAGGAGCTTGTATTTGGCCAGGGAGAATGATGTCTTCTGGTCGATGGCAGTATGGGACAGGAGGAGCTTCGCAATGATGTCCTTGCCGGCGTCGGTGTTGCCCTGCTTCAAGGCCTCGATCTCTTCGGCAGTCAAGGTCTGGCGCGCCGTCTCGTCGATGATCTCGCGGCGCGACCGCGCCACGACATCGCCGCTCTCATTGTCCACAACCGCGAACTCTGCGCCATCGGGGGCGGCGATCACGTTCTCGAGGTCGACGCCATCTTCTTCGGCGGGCTCCGCGCTCGTATCGACCAGGGCATCGGCGTGGATCTCGCTCGGGGGGACGACGCGTAACCTGCTAAAGTTCTCGCCTTCGCGTCTGTCTTGGATCTCGTACGTCAGGTGAAATGGTCGATCGATGATGAGATTTGTCGGGAACGAGCCGAATTTGCCCAGTGAGATGGTTCTTCGGGAGTGTTAGCGGGCCAACAGCGACCGGGGCGAAGGACTGGGGACAACTGACGTGTTCGGAATGATCTGAATGACCTTTGTATCTTCAGATAGAAGCTTCAGGGATACCCATCGATTTGGCTTCACGAGGGAATGCATGGCTGCGACGGTGGTTACCAAGCAATACCTAGGTAGCGAAGTCGTATTGCAGATGACGGGAATGGAAGCCTTTGCGCAAAGAAAGCATGAACGAAGAAAAAAAAAAGGCGAATCGTCAATTGGGCTTATCGTTATCGGATATCAGACGCTACCTTCCCTTAGCCAATCAAGCTTAGTGTTTTCGATGGTTCCTGCCGTTCAGGTACCCCGCGCGGGGCATTTTAGTTGAACCTGCTGCTGGAAATTTTACACAGTTGATGACAGGAGGTACCTACCTACCTACCTACCTAGGCTTGGAGCTTCCATTATGCACCGCTGATCATCCGAACCACAGTTCGCCTCGACAATAAAACTAACGTATGTACTCTCAGTCTGACGAGTTGCATTACACATTCTGTTCAGTAATCTTAAGCTCGCAAGCTTGAATTATACAAACTACAATCAGCGGCGCCTTGGTCATCCATGAGTGCCTTCAACTATCATCTTCAGCCTCCACCGCTCCCAACTCAGTCGTCCCCCTCTCGTCGTGGGACCTTTCCTGATCCGAGAACTGCCTTTGCTCGATCACTCATGCCCATCAATCGAAGAATCCCAGCGACCGCATGAAGAACAGCCGTGAGAGTGCCGAAAAGGAGGATGGGGAAGATGGTGTACGTGGTGAAAACTCGGGCCAAAGTCAGCAAACGCCTTCATCGATATCGGATCTTCCCATCAACTTACATACGGCACCGCCAGTCTGCTTAGCGACATCAAACAGCTCACCACGCATGATCTCGAGGGCTCCAGCTTCCCATTTCCACGGACCGACGAGCCGGAACTTGCTGTTGAAGTTTGATCCCATGGCCCAGGTGAAGAAGGCCCTGAAACCCTGGCGAATCATGAAGGAAAACGTGGGTGCCGCGCCCATGTCAAGAGCAAGCTGGTACGCGTATGACTCTTGCTCCACCCCGTGCTTGGTCTTGAAGAAGTCATGTCCGCCTCGTGCCTTGAGAGCATAGTCGATCTCGTAGTGTGCGACAGCGTCCGGGTCCGGGTGTGGAAGCGCAGAGGGGACTTGTTGAGGATACTTGCGTCGAAGGAGATTAAGGATCCAGAGTTGAGCCTGTAGCTCGGCGAGCGGAGGAATGGAACCTGTGCGACTCATTAGCTTTCCCCGATTACCAAGCAGAGGTGAACCGCCAAGAGAGCTCACCGATCCCAGGTCGCACGAAGCCAATGAAGCCGGCCGTCACATCACCGCGCTTCCAGATACCACGCACGTTCAGCTCGTCGGGCTTGGGGTACTCATCTCCCAGGAAACAGACGCGACGAACGTATCCTGTGGCAAGGACGACCAAGTCTGGCTTCACAGTTCTGGCGAGTGCGTCTTGATGTTCACTCCGTCTGCTGCCGGGGAAGATAGCCCGGCCATCTTTCGAAAAGGCGGCAGGCCACGGGGCTGACAAGATCTTCCTTCCGCCGGTGTCCTTTAACTCCACGTTCATCATCCAAGCCCGGATTCGAGAGAGAATGTTGGTCGGGCGGTGGCCCTCGTTGAGGTAAGGGAGAGCTCGGTCAGACTTGACAAGGAACACTGAATAGACAAGTCAGCGAAACAACAACACGTTTAGCTGTCTGTATGAAACTCACGCGAGTCGGCGTTGTTGCGGTCTCCCTCAATAGAACCCACCCACTGGTCGGGGCCTGCGAGTGTTCCTCCAGATATGCAGTGAAGAGCCTTGAGTGACTTATCGTATATGAACCAGGGCAGAAAAGAGTGTTGCAGTCGCTCCGGGAGATAAGCGGTGTCAAAGAGACTGGCGATGGCCGTATCGACGGGCTTCTGGTGAGGAGATGGTTTGAATACCTTCATAACGGTGGGCAGAGGAATCGTCTAACAAGGTCAGCTGCGTGTCAGAAAGCCACAATCGCCGTGTAAATACCTTCTTGGCGCAATAGAAGCCATCTTTGTGGCACATCACGACTTCTCGAACATCTGAAGTTACTGCCAGGTGAGCAATATCCATGGCAGTCTCTCCGGCCCCCAAGATCATGACCGACTGCTTGCCGTCGAATTGTTTTCTTCCCTTTACTTCAGATGAGTGCAGGACGGAGGAGACGTTCGCGAGGCCATCGATACCTGGAACTGAGGGCACATTGTTGAGGCCAGTGCAGACAGCAATGGCATCGCAATCCCAGTACATGGACTCCAGATCAGCCCCATCCTCGTGCCCTGGTTGAGACCTGCCGATGCTTCTGTAGCATATGCGATGACCACCACCGGGGATTCTCGACACTCGCAGGACTTCAGTCCTCATCTGAATTAGGTCCCAAAGCTTGAAGCTCGTGCAATAATCCTCGAGGTATCGCACATATTCCTCCATAGGCAGGAAGTCCGGGAGCTCTTTGGCCACTCGGAAATCCGAAAATGCTGTCAGGTACTTGGAAGAGACCATCTGGTTTTCCTCGTCAGTTAAATTCTCGCCTGGTGGTTAGGATGAGGCCATCTGGGCCACTGCGCCACCCGAGGTGCTACGCTGGAGTTTCTTGCAGACGTACCTCGGCCTCCTCGTACACTTTGTGCTTGTACACACCGCCGATGCTGTTCTCTCGCTCGAAAATTCGAATTTCCATGTCGGGCACGCCAAAATAGTCTCTCGCCTGGCTGAGATACTTCGCGGTGACGAGGCCCGAAGCACCGGCGCCGATGACCGCCACTTTCATGGATTTCATGACGAGATTAGATTGGTCCCAGCGAGAAGGTGAAGTTGATTTCCGAGTTGGAAAATTTTGTCGCGGTTTGGGTTGAGGTGTGGATCTTGACGTAAAGAGGCCAAGGTCGGGTAGTTGCACTCATGCCCGTCAAGAACAAAACAATGTGTTGATGCTAGGTCCTAGAATAGACCGTTTGTCGGGCTTTTGTAATCCAAGCTTCTTGGGCGGGCCTGGGGGCGTATACTTGAAGTAAAATAAATGAACAGCGAAAACCTGGAAATAAGAGGTTCAGTCGTCTTCATGAGACCGGAGGGAACTCAAGGGCACCAACTCAAGATGGACTACCTCATTTCCAGCACTCCAGAGGCACAGTAAACATTGACCACCAAAGAAAGGTTAGGATTAAGTCCTGTGGGATGGGGGGTTTTCTGTACCTTCCCGGGGTGCAATTCAGAAGTTGAAAGGTGAGGTAGAATAAAGGAGACTAAAAAGTGGTCAACCGCCGCCAAAAGCTATGAATGAAGTGACACACAAGGGGCGGTGTAATCAATATTGAAAGACAGTTAATAGCAACCTCACTCCCATACTCTGTGAACCTGCAAAGTTTTGATCAGAGATAATGGAACTTTTTCTAATAAAAGATAAGATTATATGATGTTTTCACTCTTGCCAGGAGCCTCTCAGCAATCTAAAGGTTTAGTGTTGTGCCCTCCACTGGAAAAAATTAGTGCTGTCGAAGGATCAAACCCGAAGCCATTTCTGACCATCTCCATTTTCGAGACCCAATCAAGGCTGACTCCCATGACCAGCTGAGTTGAAGGTGGTGTGAAAAATGATGTGCCAAGGAGGCGAAGTTAGCCCCCAAAGAGCCCCCCAAGATTTCGGTGAAGAGCAGACTCAGGCGATTGGGTTCAATTCCCAGCTGAAAACTTTTGCGGTCCGCAAGTGGTTAAGCTGTGAGCTGAAATGGCTCGGGCGAGGCAGAATTAGCTGAGAATGATGATGAGAAATGACATTCCAGGCTGAGGTCATCCTGGGTGAGACTGCACTGTTCCTTTAGGCTAAGAGACACGCAGCAGTGAGAGAAGTGCGAGGAGGATCAAATGCAATCCTAAGGCTCTTACGCACCTATCTGCTGGGTTGAATCCCAGTGTACATGCCATTGTCATACCTGCACCCGCGCATACTCTCACTGCTGGGGGGGAGGGGGGTTTGTCTTTTAAAGACTCGAGCACCCGAAGACCATTGCGTCCAAAAGTGCTGTGCAGCTAGGTCTTTCGACACATGTGTCAATGGAGAAACAAAATACAATTCCCTGTTTTGGGCTGATAAACGGATACATGTATATAAGTATTGTACAGAGCCTTCGGGGGTCGGATGTCGTCTCGACCATTCCACAACCGTTCGCCGAATAACTGAACCTAGTTGTTGCTGCTGTCGGACTGCTTCTTGTGGATTCTTTCCTCGTTCAACCTCTCGATCTCCTCTCTTGGCCAACGCAGATATTCCGAAAAGTCGGGGCCCAAGATCAAGGCAACGCCGTGAAGAATATGGCTCGCCCAGCCTGTCATATACCACAGCCACTCCAGCTTCTTGATAAGTACGACAAGATGCGCCAGTATAAGAAGCGCAAAGGGTTTCTTGTCTTTCAAACATTGAACGAATTCATCCTCAGTGCGATAAACACACCCAATTATAATTTCCATCTTTCCATCGATTGCGTGTCTTGGTTCTTTCGCTGTGCCACAAGTCTGCTGGAAACACGAAGTCAGATCCGTCAGCATCTTCTCGTATATCCCTGTGTCAGGATCATTGGACACGGCTACTAGATCAGCAATTCTTTGCAGAGCCGGCTCCCATAGAACCACTCTTTCCGTCATTTCGGAAGGCGGTAGTTCTTTGGGTGGCTGCTCTGTCGGCATTGGGGCTAGAGCACCAGCGAAGATGGCCTCAAAGCCCATTGTTTCCACAACCATCTTCACGCCCCGCAGTAGTTCGACCCAGGCTACCTCTGTACCATCAGATATGATCAGGAGATGACCCGGGCTTGGTCCCGAAGCGAAGCTGTACGAACACACGAGTGTTGTGGCGATGTACAGCGCCCCGCAGTTTTCCCTGTTCAGGTTCGGTAGGATATCCATGACCTGACGAAGTCCAACACCGTAATGGCCGTCCGCGATGGCTTTGTAACGGCTTGCCTCATCTGGTTTGTTCCGTGCCATGTGAAGCGCTGAAACTGCTAGCAACAGGTGAAGAACGCAGTGGTTTCCGAAGGCCAGTTTTGGTACCTTGACCCTCCAGAGAATCGGATCACCTGGACAAAGCTCGTCTGAGGTCATGAAATGGTGTTGTAGCTCCAGATCATCCACCGTCCAGATCCAGGTAGGGTTTGGTGTAACCTGGGGAGACTCCGTAAACAGAGTCATGTTACTTGGTGTCGATGGCAAGTTCATCAGGTCAGGTATTTCCGGCTCGGCAGTCGCCAAGTATTGAGGAAGATGAGGAGGAGGGCTAGGGCCTTTGAAAACTGCGTCCCAGTCCTTCCGGGGGCGGCCCCTTTTCCTCGATACCAACGCAATATTTGCTTCCGGAGATCCAGTTGATCGGTCCTGGAACTCATCAGGAGGGGTTGGTGCAGATGCGAAGTCGCAAGGAATGAGCGCTTTTAGGCACTGCCCGCATCTTGGTTTGACCTCATCACACTAGATTGTACAGTGTCAGATTGGGGAAAGGAAATTCGACATTGACCGTCTTACCTTGATCCTTCGGCGCTTACAGCTTTTGCAGCCGTTTCGGGACTTTTTGTGAGATCTTCTTTTCGCAATGTGGCAGGTCGTGCAAGTGCAGCCAGCATCGCCGTGCTTCGGCTTGTGCTGAGAGGTATTCGACTCGCTCATTTCAAGCACTCGATCCGTATAAAATAGTTTGATATCCAGGGAAATTCAACATACCATCAAGTTCAGAGCATGGATGGTTTCTTGATGGTTGAGGTGAAAAAGAAAGCGCAGCGTCAAACCGAATCCGAATGCTGGGTAGCGCCACTAATTAAGGCTTTACAGGGCTCACGCTGCCCCTGAGCGGCACTGCCACAAGCGTTGCCGAAGCCCGGTCTGGGCTGCTCGTAGCCATTGGCTGCCTGTGATGTGGGGGTTCAGTTGACATTTTGACCTGGGATTGTCCCAGTGTACCTCAGTACTAACACTGGACACCTTCGTGAGTTGGTTACAGCGTTGATGGTCATTCCGAATCCACGGGCGACCACACTTGATGCGAATCGCTTCTATTGATGTATCCTCTTTAGATAGAGAGTTCCGGAAGCTTGTGTGTTGATGGAAGCCACTCAATTCGAGGGATAGCCAAGTTTCGCCCGGCTTGCTGGATCACAGCACTCAGAGCCCTTCGGGAAGCGTGTGAATGGATCGACTCGAGACCAGTCTTCAGGGCAAACTCAACATAAGGTACCTTAAACCGAGAAGGATAAGAGTTTAAACTCACGAGTCTTTTTTATTCGAGATATGACAGCAACCTGCGCGGAGTCGGTAATCAAAATTGTCTACAACATGACCAGCAGCGGCGCGGGTAACTCGAAGGAGAGCTCCAGGAGAGACACAAGGCAGTTATATAACTTGCTTTTCTTACAGACACCTCAGCGAGGAGCTTCAACTGTTGTGGACGGAAGAGCGGAAGTACTTCCATGCGCTCAAGTTGTGGTTCCTTTTCCAGGTTTCCAACCTGGAATCCGGCGATCCCTGCGTGGCACTAATGCTGAAAGCCAGTGGGGTGCTGGGAATTTTCGTATTAATACGAAAAGTGTTGGATTTCAATGGAGAACAGCAGGGAGACCCAATTCTTCTAGATGCCGGATCAATCATTCAAGCTTATGCCGCCGCATCTTTCTTGGCAGCTTCCAATGCCATTCTCTTGCTGAGTTCTGCTCAAGATTGGAATGGGCCAAGCCGACTTCGTCCAATCATTAACCTCTTCATGGACGGCGTCTGCAAGCGGTTGTTCCCGCTTCGGCTACGGTACCATTCTCCAGACCTAACGACTTGGTAAATTTCCGAATTGAAGTTTAAGAACGTTGTTCGGACTTCAGAGCTGTCTTGTATGTGGGTTTGATGGATACTGTAGCTGGTATGTAGTCCAGGGTCGGCTCAGATGACATAGTAAGCTCTCACAAACCAACTCAGAGCTCAAGACCTCTTCTTGACAACTCAGAGTTGGCAGATTTAAGCGGTCAATTCATGGTGCTAGGTCTTCGTGAACGTTTCATTGACTTAGTAGCATTCAAGCAGATGACTTGTTAAAGCCATCATACTTTACACATAGTATATTGTTAAGTAGGTATTTGTTACAAGCGTTGCAATACCAAGTGATCTAAGCCAACATCTAATTACATCTTGTGCACGTTCATGCTCTCTCCCTGTGCATTGTATGCTTCGGTGACAGGAGCATACTGGGTGCGACTCTCAACCTCCTTTTCGTTCTGCATCAAGACACAGCAGGGACACCAGTACGACGCACAGCAATCGCCACACTGACTTCCTTCGATACCAAACTCCTTGCGGATGTCGGTTCTCTTGCTCATCATGTATCTGTGTTTCCGACACGGTTCGTCAGTGATTGCTGCGACGCTGCTAGACAGGCAAATGGTGGCAGATAATATCCCAAGTTGAGACGTGAAGATCCAGGCAGTACTTACATCCAATGAAGACCAATTGAACCCAAGGCAGAAATCATGATGCATTCACCGTTTAACGGCGAATAGAAAGTGAGCTTTGGGTCTCGAATTCTCTGAGCGGTCTTGCCGAACACTAAACCCGCAAAATCATATTAGTAAATACATGGCAAATCCTAAACGGAGGTACTGACCAATGCATGGAAGCCACGTAGCCATCATACAAGTCCCGCATGGACTGCAGTCCATGAGGTCGTTGTTCCATTCTTGTTGCTGCATGGTCTTTTTTGATTCTCGGGAGATAATTGTAGGTGCCAGAATGAGATGGTTGGATGAAGGCGCTTTTTTCCTTCTCAAAATAAACGGGCGCAACAGTCGTAGTCGACTGGATTGATGAATTTCAAAGTGACTTAAAGGAGTGTGGTAAAGAATGGGATAGATGAAGTTTCCGCAAAACGACAGGTAGAAGTCTGCTCGGCCATTTCTTATATGCTGACAAGAGCATGGGTAACTACCGCGAATCACTTGGTCCCGGACCCTACGAATACCTCAGGAATTTTCTGGTAGTGTCGTTATTTATCAATGCTCTCATATTCTTCCAATCAGCTCATTGGAATGTCATGTTTGCGGAGTGCCTTCTTCGGGGTGGATGGCATTTGCAGTATCAAAATGACCGTATTAAATACGAATTATTATGTCAGCACCTTTTTGACGAATGACCCTCTAGGCTTTGCCTGGACTTCTTGCTTCTTTGCTTTTGAAAAGGAAGAATCCGCCTACTGTACAGTTGAGGACCCATTTCGTTCGAAACAGCTGGAAATTTTGCCGGACATATTTCATTGTGATATAAGTCGTACTACCTATTAAAACGTTTGATTTCCTCATGAGGTTGATAGGGTTAATGGTCTCGCCTCTATTATGGATGGCCTTTATCGAAAGGAAAACATGATCGCCCGAGTCTGGAGCGCAAGAAATGCAGCTGTTTATGCCCAGAGTATCCCGGTGCTCAACGATACTGGTGCCAGTCGAAACCTGTTATTTCACGATGGATCGACCCTTTGACCTACTTGTCTTGATGCACAGGCTTGCATCATCCATGGATCTCTAAGACGCCCGAAGAAGATAGCAGCATCACAATCGAGTTGTCTGAAGCCATAAATTAGCCCCTCGGTCCAATAATAGAGCATGCAATTAAAGGCCAACCCGACGCATCGTGCAACCCTACAAGATGTGCCGAAAAATACTTCCAACGGTCGCAGGAGAGGATCGTCTAAGACAACGCCCCTGCGACAGAAACAAGCGATAGTGTACGTAGTAAGCGCCAAGATTGCTGAAGAACGGCGAGCACGCGACCAAATGCCGATTGAGGTGATAGCCGTTACTAAGTGCCAATTGCCTTGGCAGTTAGAGAGAACGTCTTGGTCAGGTAGGTGGCTGGCATTACAACCGCGACGTTGGCATAGCCACGATGGAAAAGCTTGGCGGTGCCCGGTGCCCGAAGCCTTTGACTGCCAAACGAGGCAACGTCCAATAATGTGCCAAATCGCGACTGACGACCCTGTGCACCATCTCGACGGTCCGATTCTAGGTTTGCCAAGCATGTTCTGCGTTGATTGGGATGGCAGCTGAAGGATGATGTGCGCCGCGATGTGACGCCTCCGTCCGGGATGACATCTCCCTGTGTTGCCAAGAGAGCTCTGTTTCGAGCCTATTTCGAGAAGCAATTGATTTGTCGATGGATCTGTTTTGTAAAGAAGATGTGAGCTGGTCTGAATGCTTGGCTTCTCACGTCGGCCGAATCAACTGAGTACACGGTAAAGTCATTGTCGCACTTGGCAGCACTAAGACCGCCACAGCCACTCCCAAGGATCCGGGGTGTCGACGGACGCCGTGGAACGGGCCGTGTAACGACGACCGCGCCGGTTAGAATGGATCTGCCCTCCGAATCCGTCACCGAAGATGGCATTCTGGCAAATCGCTCAGTTACGCCGGCGCTACGCCAAGCTCTTGGCCCATGGAACGATGCAGGTGAATGTTCTGATTATTCTTGTATTGCTGCGAAACGCTTTCCATCGCGCCTGTCTATGCTATCACAACCCCCTTTTATGTACATTAAGTCTAGTAAATAGTGACAATTTATTCGTCAAGTAAAGCTTTCCCCGTGTTTGGGGAGGGGTATAGTGCATTTAGAAGTGAGGAGCGTTGAGGAAAAGACCCATGAGAACACCGCCAAGGGTGCCGGCAACGGGGATGGTCATGATCCAGGAGAAGACCAAGAGACCGACACGCTGGAAGTTGACAGCCTTGAGAGTTCCGTTGCAAAGACCAACACCGACGGTGGCTCCAGTGATGCACATGGAGGTAGAGACAGGCAGAGAGAACTGAGAGAAGACAAGGACAGTGATGGCGGCACCCATCTCCATAGAGGATCCACGGCTAGGGGAGTGGTAGGTGATCTTGTTACCCATGACTGTTTCTTGTTAGTGACTGTTTCGAATTTGGTTCGCCAAAGTGTGAACTTACCCTTCATGATGTTGTAGCCGTAGGTGATCAAGCCAAGAGAGATGGTGGCGGAGAGAACAGCGAGCTGCCAGACAGGGACGGGAGCCTTGGCGGCGGCGGCGTCACCGGTGCTCCATGCAGAGTAGATAACAGCCCAAGGACCGACAGAGTTACCAATGTCGTTGGCACCGTGGGCGAAAGAAGCGGTGCAGGCAGTGATGATCTGGACGAAAGAGTAGGTGTGCTCGACCTCGTTGGGGTACTTCTTGGCGG